TTCGTCCGTCTGAGCGTACGTGCGCGTATGAGTGTTTGATAATGGAAACAAGCCTGCCTATTACAGCCGTGGCTCTTCAGACGCCGGCCAATAATAATGAGTGTGGCACATCTGGCGGTGTGCTTTTTGTGTGTCTCTGAGTGGGAGGCGCTGGTAGAGAGGGCACAGAGTATGTAAGGTGTTATGATTGGCAGAGTAATTATGCTTGCCCGGAGTCTATACAAGTCCGTTCAAACGCGGCGTAGACGTAGTCCTCGCAGGGACAGCAGCCGGACGTGCACATCTTTTAAATGTCCACAATGCATCGTGCAGAGAAAGTTAATTTTTTTTTATTCAGCTCTGGTCAGGAGGAAGCTTTAAATTGGAGACAATGAAAAAATTTACGTCTTAACAATTGTTTATGTAGGTATCTGCCATGCACACTGCCACAAAGGTTGGCCTGTAGCAGCCCATAAAGATGTATTCAGCTGTGGTGTTGAACTCACTGTACAGAAAACACAGTACTTACTATATGAAAGAGATGATGCCTCAGGACATAATCACAGATTAAGTAATTTCCCCTTAAAACGTACTTGGCAAAAGAAATTATATCAAGGCAGTTTCTCTTAGACCGGTCTGCATAGGTAGACATAAAATTGACCTTTGAAAAAGCTGCACACGTATAACCCCCGATGCAATTCATTTATTTTTTATGAATCAGTGTTGAGGCACACCGTCAGGATGATTCAGACAACGATGTTCCAAACCAATGCATAAACCAACTGCATTAGAGTGTTTTCGTGATAAAAGTAACAAAACACCCCCCTGCATTAAACAAAGATAAGTGTACTCCCTCTAGCCCGGTCATCCGTATCCGTCCACAGTCTGTGTCCTCTCATGTCCAACGTCTCGGTCTCATTCTAAATGAAGTGGAAACGCGTGCTTGAGTGGGTGCTGGAATTATCCTAACATGCACAGACTGACAACGCCCACACGTAGGTAGAGGAATCACTCTGGTAGCTCTTTAAGCCACTCGTCTGTGGTCTTGAAGGAATCCAGATAATATAGCTAATCAAGAGGATGATTATATTAACACGTCAGTGATTCACACACAAACACACACACGCATTACAGCTTGATTTCCCTGTCATTGATTGTAGAATCACATTTTATTGTATCGGGTCTGTTTTGTGTTGCGTCCTACCATTATTGTGTATCTTTATATTTGCGCCTGCTACTACTTTGAAAAACGAATGTTGTGATTCAGTGGCAGATTTTATCCACAGACACTTTATCTCTCCGCAGTTATCAACTCCCATATGATGGTCTTTGTAGTGGCTCTACAAAGCGCGTCATATTTTAGCATTTGTCATAGATTCTGTTTGCTTTGTTATCTCGCTTCTTGCTCTGTGGTCTGCTATTTGTTTTGCTTTTGTAAGATTTACAATATGTTTCTCTCTGACACACTGTGACTGTGATGTCTCAGTTCTCGGTAGCAGATATACGGCAAAGCTTTGCATTTCAAAACATGTTTTGCTGCCTTTAGTGTAACAACATGTAGAATATATCTTCATAGCTTTGCCTGCTTTTATCTTGCACAGCATGCGACCAGGTCTTTGTTTCTATGCTGAAGAAAGATGCATATGGAAATATATTACCATTTTCTGCAGCCTTAAAATTGCACACCAAACAATGGGCCATTTGTCCTTAGATTGCAAGTAAGACAACAAGGAAGTATTTGCATATCATAATGTATCGCTCCCCCCGATACGATATTGCGTATTGCGTACAAACTGAGGGAAGACAAACCTGCTTTTATCTAGTGATCAGGGGCACGCGGTTTGAAATTCACCTTTGTCTGATTCATTGGGTCAAGCGAAATCAAAACATGAACAATGAAAGTGTGGAATTGATTTATTCCTTTGTAAAAACATAGAAGGCTTCTTCTTGAACCTTTTTTTAAACCATTGTTGCAGTTGAAACAGAGAACAAGACTATTGCTCATATGTTTGCATGTGTCAGTGGGTCAAAGCTGGTGTGCGTATACATTATTACAAGCATGCAATGCCACTATTTGATATCTACAGCATGACAACAAACACAATCTTCACGGCGTGTGTTTGTGTGTGTGTGTGTGAGAGAGAGAGAGAGAGAGAGAGAGACAGGTGATGTGGGAGCAAGAGTTAAAATAACAAATACCTATTCTCCCCTTGGGTTGACTCGATCCAATCACCCACCCTCTGCCATTCACACACCGAAACCTTTTTCACCAGCTGTGGGTAATGATGCGGTGGAAGTGGCAGTGTAGCCACCACATGTGGCCCCTTTGTTTGAGCCCAGCGGACGACACATTAGTCCAACATGCCACAAAATTCAGGCTTTATCAAAATTTCAGTCTATCATCACACAATAGCTGAAAATAGGTATTAATGTAAGTTATCATTTTGATTACGTAACAGTAAATTGGGTTATTTTGAATGTGGTTAATTTCCCTTATAGGAAGTGTCATTAGACAAATGGACTGTTTAAATTCAATGGCAAGTAACAATATTTGCTTTGATATATTAGTTTTCAACACACACACACACACACACACACACACACACACACACACACACACACAGACAGACGCACGTCACACAACCCTGTTTTAGCATTGCAGTATAATTAGCCTGAGAAAGCATCTATGAATAAAAAGTCCTGCAGGTTAATTCATTTGAAGTGGAGTTGGCGGCTAAGTTTTGCTCATTGGTCTTGTTGACTGATTACTAGTTTCTTAGCGTTGTTTGGAGAATATGTAATCAACAGCATATTTTCAACATGACGTGATTCACACTTGAGGTTAAGAGTTCTTTCTCTTTTATGGTGGAACCATTTCAATCACGGTCACAGCCTTATTTTTAAATTGATATTTTCAGGAGCATAGTATGCCAGCATCTCAATTTTCCAGGAAATCCGTGGGCATGAATTCCCTTTATGTTACCGAATTGCCAGAACAGTCCCAACATTAAGCCACGACTGGTGAGATGTGGTAAAAGTTCTGTCTGTTCTCAAGTGGGACTGAAGCTTATAAAATGGAGTATATGAAATTATCCATTTAAGCGAACTAACTTATAGCTGAATATCCTCTGAGCTACTAAGGTAGCGTGAACTAAAATTTGAGGATCATTTTCCTTTTTTATCAAATAGAACTAATTTTTTCTTTCACACTACTTCAGGTCAGGGGTGAAACACTTGAGGAAAACTTCTTCTGCCAGTCACTGTTTTGTCTATTGTTATGAAACAACCTCAAACCTAACAAAGAATGCATATCTCATGTTGTTGTAGTGAAAATATTGGCCTTAACCTAATCACAATTCCTAAATTCATCTTTTCAGATGTGCTGTTGCGTCTTGTTGAGCACACTCTCTGTGTCAAATGAAGTCTAAAATCATGTTATTACCAAAGAGGAGGTAACACATATCTATTGAACCTATAAGTAATATATCATTGACCATTGATCACATTAAGTAACATTATCCAACCTGCACTGCCAAAATATGTGCTGCTTAAAACCAGACTACAGCTGAATTAACTCATGTATTAGCTGTTTTTTTAAGATATGCGTTTGTGATTTGAAATGAACATTGTATTGCTCAAGATGCATTTTGCTTGAGGAGCATGTTGCTAAGCAGCATCCATCTTCATATATCCCTGTCTGCATTTGGTTTTTGTGGTTATGTATACCAACCAGTGACCTTATATCTCTGAAACAAGATGCAACAAATATATTACATTGTGCTGTTTTCTCTGTGGCCACAGTACAGCTTATATAAATACCCTTAGCGTGAATAAATAATCCTTATCCTTATTACACTCATGTTTTTGCTTTGGTTTGCCAGAGAGCACCTCCTCTTTTTTTATACTTGTAAAGTACAAGGATGAACTCCTCGGCTGACAAGTCACGCTATATATATGTGTGTTTTTGTTTGTTTGTCTTTGCATTTTTCCCCAGTATAACCTTTACTTTGTAATGGAAACTAAAAGGTCATGGAGTATTTCACTTAAGATTGAGAATTCAAGGCTACAGTGAGCCCCCTGGCCAAAGAGCAGTGCTGAATCTTTAAAGATCAGAGAGAGAAGCAGGTAGAATAACTGAGAGAGAAGACTGACAGCCGAGCTGGGGAAGGCAGTAAGCTGCATAATAACACAGAGTTTCCTCTTTTCTGCATCTGAGATTTCGATTTCCTAATGCGAAGGGCGGAGGAAATTAAACGAGGTGAATTAAACAATGTGACTCAGACATTTATGCGCTTGCCATAAAGTTTGGACAGGTTAAATTTAGGAGTTTTTAGACCAGTGAATACAGCACTCAGGAAATGTGATTAGGCTCATAAATGGGACAGTTTCTCGCTGTCTTACCCTTCACCCAGAGTACCTTGCAAACGCATGTACGGACATTTCCCTCCTTTTCTACTCTGCCAACCATGCTGTGAAGGGCCCGGCGTCTTTGTCTTTTACAACAGTATGTTTTCTATGACTTGATGGAGTAATGTCATCATTTCTATTATTTTTATATCCAACCTCACAAAGTGCTTTATTTGCTTGTGAACAGTAAATGTCATTTCTAATGCATTGGAACATTTTTTACAAGATTAATCACGACTGGAACAGAGATTGGATTTGCATTCACCACCGATCCTCATTTCCTACATACCATTTATTTATTCATATGGGTTTCAATGGTGACATCTCAAACCAATCAAAAAGTCTACACCGGCATCCTATTATAAGTCCTTCCCATACAATGTCATTTTTTTTTTTTTGGAGTGGATCAGTTGTGAAAAATGACATTGTTATTTTATAATTCACCTCAGCTGGAAAGAGGTTGGAAAAAACGTAGATAGGTGAATGCATCTCTGGTTTAATTAGTTTGTTTGGCTTCATGGCAGGCGTATGTCTCTTATTTGCCACATTTTTTTCAGATTTTTTTGCAAAACCTTAACGCTGACCTAACTTTGTCCTCTCTCTGTCTCTCCCAGGTGGAGTGGTTGAAAAACGAAGAAATAATTGATCCCGCAGAGGACAGAAACTTCTATATCACCATCGACCACAACCTGATCATCAAACAGGCGCGTCTGTCCGACACAGCCAACTACACGTGTGTGGCTAAGAACATAGTGGCCAAACGACGAAGCACTACGGCAACCGTCATTGTTTACGGTACGTTCACGTGCTCCGGCCTTTGAGGGTATTTGTGTGCGTCTGATGTCGGGCGTTTTTCCACTCAAATGACACCGGTTTAGATGCTATCTGCGGCTCCCAAACAATGAGTCTGATCAGCCGAGCCCGGTCCCATCTGCCACATGAAATTAGCTCTTTGAGATTGGCTTGATATTCCCACATCACCCTTGACCCCGCCCAATTTAAATCCACCAATCACGCCTTCCGTTCTAAATTACAACACTCGGGCTTTCCAAATTTCGGAGCTTTCAGCCAAGAGTCCGCCAATCAAATTAATTGTGTAGCATATGGCATGAAAACAGCTGTGAAAAAAAAAAAACTTTGAATAGCTCACTTCTGAATGGTGTTACCCTTTTTTTTTTTTAACAAAGTTTGCTGTGAGGGAGAAAAACATCACACGCCGTGTCTGCCTGCGTCGAAGAGAGACCAGGAAGCATTTTGAGGAACAGAAATGTGTAGAAAGACACTCACACTTACTGCACATGCACGGTGTTTCTCTCAAATGTGACACTGTTCCTATTCACTAGGAGAGCGTTTCAATCAAAAGTAACCGTGCATGTGTGCGGGTTTGATATACACAGTGAGAGACGGAGTGTTTTGACACTGATGTATCCTTTACAGAAATAGATTGTTCAATCTCCTCGGCTCCGACTGACACTGTTGACAAGGTGAAAAAAAAACACGGGGGGGCAAAAGTGAGAAACTGTAGATGGATGCGAGACAGGTGAGGACAAAGGAGAGGCAGAGGAGTAGAGAGCGGCAGAAGAAACAAGAGTAGACAACCCCACAAAGAGAGTGGATGACATAAGCGATTGTGCCGGATTCTCCCGGTCACTCCCTCTCTCACTCTGATGATTCATTTCTAATTGGGCGTTGGCGACGGAGTGCGCATCGTCCACTGGGCCGAGACGGAGCTGTCGAGATGCAGCAGAGGCCTTTCAACCCACCTCTCTGTCAACTCGCCCTCTCGGGGGTGTCCCTGTTACTTTACTGGATTTCTCTCTTTCTGCTTTCACCTTTATTTGTGTCTGCACTGTGCTGCCACATTTGTCTCGTGAAAAACAACATTAATTCAAATAATGAAGCAAAGAGATGACAGGGTGCAAAGAAAACAAGTCAGTAAGGATACAAAGAAACAAAGAAAGAGAAACATGCATTCTGACTATGAAAATGCAGATTATGTATTTAGGTATTAAGCCTTCATAGTACTTTGCTTCCCTAATAGTTATTTTGTCCTCTGCCTGCTTTCTAGGTTCTACACTGTAAAAACTCAATTTGGAGGGTAGTAATTATTACCCATGCAAATTGTTTGAATTTTACTGTATTAGTCAGCAAACAAATGTATATATTTATTTTAAGTAAAGCTTACCTTCCCTGATGAAGTAATGGTTAATAAGTCATATTGTCAAACCTTTAATAACAATTTTTAGGTATTAAGTACTTACAATCTAGAGTTAAAATGACTTTTTTTAACTAATCAGTTGTATAAGGTAGACGTTACCTCATCTCTGTTAGTGTATAAAACGTATGTATGCTTTAAACATGTGGGGAAATCTACCCGAACAAATCGAGTGCAAATTGTTAGCTCACATTTATTAGATTCTATAGTTTTTTTAATTTATTTATAGTGTAAGTGTTAAACCATGTGTAGCTTATAAGGCATACGTTTGTCACTGTGCCCTCTGTGTGTAGTTGTTGTCTGAACGACGGGGAAAGATTGTGCGACAGTAACATTAGAAAATAGTACTTTAAGAACCGAGCCTCCTGGCATGTGTAAAATCACACTGAACCCATGGAGACAAAAACAGCCCAGAGATTTACTGATTCAAGATGATACCTCTTTGATAGAATTTTAGTTTAATGTCCATTTGATTTCTTCAGTCAAGACCTAGTTTGTATAAGCATCACAAATGTTGAGGCTTTTCTGTATTTTTGCTACAATTCCATCAAGCAAATGTTATTCATTCCTCAAGGGGCAATTTGTGGAAGGCAAATTACAATTATACAATTATACTCAATGACAGTTCACCAAGTTGACCAAGAATTCCTCGATAGGGCAGATGCACAGATGGCTGATTAATGCACATGTGGATTACTGCATTGATTAGGTTACTGATCTTAGTTGCTCTTGGTTGTAACAGTAAACGGTGGTTGGTCTACATGGACGGAGTGGTCTACGTGCAACAGTCGCTGTGGGCGGGGCTTCCAGAAACGCACCCGTAGCTGCACTAACCCCGCCCCTCTCAATGGAGGACTGCCATGTGATGGACAGGCCATTCAGAAACTGGCCTGCACCACACTTTGCACTGGTGAGTGAATCTTGTATCTATATTTATATAGTTCCAATGTGTGATATTGTACTCTGTTGTATTTTTTTTATGTTCTATTTTACTCTGCCACAAATATTCTTGCACTTTTTTACGCCCTATACGCTGTTTCTTCATGTTTTTTTTGTTTCTCATTTGTCTCGTACGCTGATCCGCTCCCTCCAGTGGACGGTGTGTGGACAGAGTGGAGTAAGTGGTCGGCCTGTGGGACCGAGTGTACCCAATGGAGGAGGAGGGAGTGCAACGACCCAGCACCTAAAAACGGAGGAAAGGACTGCGATGGGACGGTGCTCCACTCACAGAACTGCACCGACGGTCTCTGCATGCAAAGTAAGTTGACTGTAGTGAATCTCTTTGAGGAAAAAATGGATGCATTTATTCCATGTGTATAGAAGTTGTGTCATGGATACAGTACAGTAACTATGAAGGATGAGTATGCAAACAAATGGCGAGCAGCGTTTGCTTCAAATGGGAATTCCCTTAAAAGTGAACTGATCGCGGATGAGGAAGGCCATTGGTCAGATGTTTCGCTAAAAAACAGGAGCAACTGAAGTTTAACTTGACAAATGAATGGGTTCATGTACAACACCAAGATGAGATATCCATAAATATGAATATGTTAGAATAGAATTATTCTGTCCGTGACGCCTTAGTCGAGGGGCTCCAACGTATAACATTTAACCGCAGCGTGCAGGGTTTGATTCTCCATTAAAGTAAGTAGAAATGGTCTCTTTTACCCTCTTCTTAGACAAAGCAAGTTTCATTAGTGTCCAGCCAACCCAATTAAGTCTGTGGGCTTTGGCAGAACTGTCAAAATGGTTGTGCTGAGATACCTTGGAGACTTGTCATTAAAACCCTTGGGCAAAAGTAAAAGCTTTGAAAGTGTCACAGCTTTGGGTGTTGCAGTTTGCCACTTTTCCTCAAATTTCTTACCTTTTTCTTCCCATGGTTTGCCCTTTTTATTGTTTTTTTTATTCCACTCTGCAGTTCTCCAGTAACCACTGCTTATCTGTTCATTTAATCCCCTGTCTCCATTGTTGTCTTTCTTGCCTCTTCTACCACCTGCTCCCCCTTTCCCTTTTTTATTTTACAGATTTTTTATTTTACTGATTTGTTCTTGCTCTGCTTTACAAATGCACTATATTCCTCTGTGCACATTATAGGTCAGGGGGGCCCACACTTTTTTCGGCTCAAAAGCTACTTTTCAATCGACCAAGTCATGGCGATCAACCCCCCCCGCCCCCCGAATGAGTAGCAGTGATAACCAGACGGAACGCTGCATACCGCCAGCGCAAAACAAAATCAATACTAAAAAAAACAACAACAAGCCTGTCGATCTGTCAGAAGGGGGGAACCGTCACAACCATTACACACATTCTTCGTCATTACTTAGTCGGATGAGTCGGCCGGGGTTGCTTTCGGAGGCGCTTATTAGCACCATCAAGTTTTCACTTCGCTTCTGCGGTGACCCAAGAAGATTCTTTTCCCAATGGCAGGTGATCTACGCCTTGGCGATCGACCTGTTGGGCACCCCTGTTGTGGATGATGTATAGGTTTGGTTTGGGATGGTCAGAATGATTGACCTTAGTTTTACCGCTTTCTTTTCTTTCTTTCTTACTATAACAACGTGGTTGAAGCTCTGTCTGCATTTTAGGTTTTTACGGCCTAACTTTATTGACACAAACTGGACAGCCGACTGACAATCGTGAATGCCGCTTCGCTGTATATATATTGTGATGTCACGAGAGGCGCCGCCGCTCTCTCCGGGGTAGTTCAAAATAGTGCGAGGACACCGGGTTCAAAATGTAAACAAAAGGTTTTAATTTCCGTCCTTCAGGTTCAACAGAAAACAGTCAAAACAGGGGGTAACTCAGGCTTCGGTCAATCTTTGCCGGTAGAACTTAACTTAACGGAAATCCACTTCTGTAAGGAAAACAACACCGTCCTCCCGGTCTCTCCTGCCTCCTCGAATCCTTATGGCTTGGTCTGCTCTTCTCAGCTCGTCTCCCTCCAACGGTGTGTCTTCCACCTTTATGAAGGCCTCCGGGTCGTCACACCCTGATGGGTCTCAGGTGTGAGGGGAATGCTCTGAGTTTCGGGGCACCAGCAGATGGAGCCATAGTTAGAGCCATCGCCGGTGAACGTATCTCCCTTCCAAGACCAAGCCTCTCGTGACATCACAATATATATATATATATATATATAACAAGAATTGAGAATTTGGTAGAAGGATGCTTTTAGTAACGATGCAGCTGCCCCTACAAAGTACACACTGTTTCATGAAGAGTGCATACAAGTGGGACGTACTAACTCATCTAACGATGCAGTTTAAACCTTTGACCCTCTCCATGAGGGCGAATCAATCAATATCCGTGAGCACAGATGAGATCCACTTCCGTGTCTGAGGTGAGGTCCCACGTGCTCAACTCAAACAGCTCCGTACGCATGTTACTTTTTTGAGGGATTTCAAATCACTCTGTGCAGAATGTCTCTGCTGGCGCGAGCAAAATTGTAGGAAAAAGGGGAGAAAAACGTGCTTAGACTGCGAGGATCGTCACCTCCATCACTGCTCTTCTGCCTGCAACACTTTCACCTGCTCCCTCGCTCTGTGGATTCGAATTTTGACAGCAAGTGGGCGGAGATTGTCCCTTAGATAGTTATTTAATTGGTTGAATTCCACAAGTATTTATCAAACGTTTTACTCCACTGCATTTCCTGGCTTTTTCCTCTATAAACATTACAGACAGATAATGATGTTGCAGAACATGCAGTTCTTAGTGTTTAATTTAAAGCTGTCGATGACTTGGCATGTGCCGATCTTGAGCTGCACAGAAGATTGTCATTAAGAGGAAGCACGGCACGCCAAGAGACGGCTGGCGTGCAGAATGCAAAATACAACTGGATGCAGTAGAATGTCCAAGTAGTTTGTTACCTAATGCATTTGACCGAGCACATAATCTCTTTACCTGGCGTACTACGTAGCACGGCAGCCTGGGTGTTACAATGCCCGGCTCCGCACTTTCAAAGTTGCCCAATCCTGCGAGTCGACTGATCTGGTCTGGCATCACAACATTAAGATGTCAACTTTACATGTCGTACTATTAAGGCAGAGTTGGTCTCTTGTAATCCCCCTCAAAAATCCGTAAGAATGGAGGCGATTTGAAACTATAGATGGAAACAGAGTGAAATAAATTGACAATTCTGTCTGATATCAGACAGAGAGATGATCAATGCCATGAGCAACGGAATCAAATTATGTAATCCATCAAAAAGCTTTTGCCCATCTGCACATTATCGACGGAGGTTGCTGTATATGCAGAGCCCTGCCCACATTATATACTGTGTCTGTGCTCCGTGGAGAGGATCCCCTGAGGTCTGTGAGGTGCGGCCACAGAATCCTGGATGAAACCTGGAGAGCTATAGATTTAGGCTCATTTCCCCTGATTGATTTTCAGTCTTTAAAATGACTCCATAGACTTGGTTTTATGTCAACACTAATGTTTCCGCTGTTTCCTGTAGCATTTACGGAAATCCATGCAGTGTGTGTGTGTGTGTGTGTGTGTGTGTGTGTGTGCGTGTGTGTGAGAGAGTGTGTGGGAGAGATTGTGTGGTTGTTAGTGGGGGTTTCTGATGGCAGAGCATTTTATAGGTAGAGTATATTTGAACGGCTAAGTTATTCTAGCACTATTTTTACATTTGATTTATAAATGATAGATCTTTTAAAATGTTACCTTTACAATAACAGATTATTAGTCATTGCCGGTATCCAATTGGGCCTTTACACTGACACTTTGTACCGTTTTGCACCAGTAAAGCAATTAGGAGTATAAATAATTTGAAGTTGGAGCATATCTATATTTGTTTAGGTTATATAAAGTGTGTTTATCACATTTTAACTGCAGATCATTGAACTCAATTTACAGCCGTATGGCGCCGGTTTTAAAAGTGGTAACTTTTAGGTTTCGAGGTTTGTGAATGAACTGACATTGTCAATGTAGAGGAGCGAGTTCAAGTTTTCGAGAGGTACTCTGTAATTGACTTTGAGCTCAAAAAGCATTTCTCTCTACTCCTACTCTATTTTTCTCTTCCTGGCACTCTCTGCACCAACACCTCCCACCTTTATATCAATCTCCTCCACCATCTCTCGCTGCCGTTTTTTCTACAGTTGTCCTGTTAAATCCTAAGATGTAGAAATCCATTTGACCTCAGTGCCTCCTCTCTTTTTGTGCGTGCGTATCAGCATTTAGAGTATGTGTGCACATGTAGGTGTGTTGGTCTTTCACTTTTTTTGTTAGACGTGTTTGTGTTGTTTTATATCTTTTGGCCTGTTGACATTTTTCTGACAGATTGATCAGGATTTCTGGAGCAGATTCAGTCGGAGCTCCGCTGTGTCATCCATGAGAGCACGACATTTCACTTACTGCTTACTTCACTGGTTCCCAAGCGTTGTCTGTCGGGGGCCCCTCTAGGATATAGGGACATTGTAAGACCCCTGAACAAAAACAATAAAAAATAGGGTTGTTTATTCATAAAATAGGTACACATCACTGTTCCCCTCGACATTTTTATTAAATTTTGTAAACATGTTTTCAAGTGAATTTACTTCAAATATTAAAATTGAAGTTACATAACATTCAAAAACATTTCCTGTCAACACAACGTTTTTCAAACTATTTTTTCGCCTTCTCCCTTCATCTCTTTCTCTGCCTCTTCGCTGCGCTCCCCTGCTTGTAAATGAGCCGCTCTGGGGGGGCATGGTGCTTTTTCTTTTCTTTTTATTCTTGCTTCCTTTTTTGTTCCGTCGTGGTTGGATGTTATGATTGGTGATCACCCCCAGTTTGGGAACCATTGGCTTACTCTGTGTGTGTGTGTGTGTGTGTGTGTGTGTGTGTGTGTGTGTGTGTGTGTGTGTGTGTGTCTGTGTTTGTTTACACACTTTTGTGTCAATGTGTGTGTCTACATAACTGTTGAGAAAAATACATCCTGTGCGTTGAATTTATAACCCGAGACACTAACTGTTATGTAGCTTTATTATTATGAGAGAGCATTGAATCGTGTTCATTGTGTTATACAAATAGCGACCATCAGTGTCAGTTACTGCAGAGAATCTTCTCAATTCTTCTCAATGTGTTATTTCGTCTATGTTATGCATTTACAAAGCATCAGTTGGCTCCGACTAAATCATGTACGTTACATTTCCCTGCAAACTATTTACGATTTATTTTTAATAATATGACTAAGACAGGTTTCTGTCATGTCATGTTGCTCCTACTGTCATCATTTATTTAGACATTAATCAACATGGCATTTGTTGCACAGCTGCAAAGTAATTTAATTTAATAATAAGACAAATCCGATGAAAACACTACTGAAATATGCAAATGCAGTCCCAGAGCAATATATCTGAGCCCACCGACACCGGCAGAAGAGAACCGCCCCATCATACCTGTCAACAGTGGACACGTCTTACTGTATGTTAACATTTGCACATGACCCTGCTTAACCTCGTCAGTTTTCCTTGCCCTTTGTTGTTGAGCCGTGCGTCTTCCAGCCGGTCCGGCAAGCAGCTTTCAAGCGCACCATGTTTCTGTGTTTGCCTTTATCAATTATGAACCAGCACTTCCATTATACATCAGTGCCTCAGCAGTTTATCTGTGTTACACTCCTTCTGCCTGATTCAGCGGCAACCGTCCTTTGGCATTCTGAGGATTTTTTTGTGTCCATGTCCTGGCATGTCTGTCCCATTTGTTTTGACTTATTTGTTTGATTTTGATTGTTGTGTTCCTCTCCCTTCCTCATCCATTCCATCCCCTTCTTTTCTCGTCCCAAGGTTCATTGTTTCAGAAGTCAACTGAGACCAAAGAAAAGAGTGATTTGGGAGTCCCATGTAAGTTGATGTTTTATGTTTTATCCTCATCCATTTTCATTTTGTCTTTTTCATCTTAGTATTTTTTTCTGCGTTCAAGCATTCACCTTTGGCTCATACTTTTATTGCTAGATGTCATTGTTAGTTACTTGATGAGAGATTTTCTCTTGTCTTATGATCTGTTCATCTTTTTGCTGTTCCGATCAAAGGAAAGTCCTCTAACAGCAGCTTCACTAGTTCTAAATCATCACTCTGATCTCAAACTAAGGACTCATGGTAGAATAGCTCACCTGATGGAAAGAAGAGCGTATTTCCTAAATACTAACTTTCTTATAAAGGGATACATCCTGATCATTATTATGTTCCATCATACAATATATGCATGCTGATCTAGCTGTATTTGCACATTTCCTTTACCATTCTCTTTAAATTAAGCAACAATTGCCATTTTTTCATTATTTTTCTTCATGCTAATCAGGGTTGGTAAGGAGGTCTACAATAAGATTATTTAAAATCTATTGCAGAATCCTATTGCAGAAAGTTGTGTCTGCAAAGTGAATGCAACACAGTGGTGACAGATTCCGTAATTAACTTCATCCTTCTTGTCTTCCTGTCTGATGGCAGAGAATCGATTCAGCACCAGTTCACTTGATTCACAATTTGAGAGTTTGTTGCAGCTGTGGTCATTTTGGAGAGCCGCCAGACAGCTTTGGATTCTTGCCAAAATAGCCAATTTGCCTTAATCCTGTACACTTGCTTTGTGTTTACAAGCATATTGGCTCACAGAGCGCTCATTGGAGTGCGGTTACATTTCACTGAACTGAGTTCAGTCTGGATTTTGTTCCACTGATTTGACTCTCTTGAAAAATTCACGGGAACGAATGATTAGCAGGTCAGATGCATCATTTGTAGAAGAGAAAAAGGTTCAACTGAAAGGCACAAGATCACCTGACAAAGAGGAATATTTTATTAATTGTTAAAATTAGGAATGCAAGGAATCTTTTTTTCAAGGAGAGTTCTTTTTTACAAACACAAGAATTAAAAGAGGAAAAGAGAGATAAGATCTCTACCATTTAGTCAAACCGTGCTTTTTACTTCCCGTGAGGAGCGCTCTTCAAAGCTATCACTGAGTGGAGGTGATTTGTTCTAATGTCTCTCATTTAAGGTCCCCTGAAGCAGTTTCATCATCCTGCTGTGTTTCCATGAGAGATGACTAGTCCCGGACAGATACCTGCATGGAGAGACGTAGAGATAGATCTAGTTATTGCTTATTTAACATGATCCTTCAGAGGTTGCATGAAAGTCATTATTCAACAATGATTGAAGATCGTTCATTATCATTATGCAACATAGGATTGCACAACAGAATGCAGTTGGAGCCCATTTGCAAACATGAAAAAGCGAAACAGAAACAGTAGTACATTCCTGTACTTGATGTTTTAAGTGTGCATTAGGGGGGAATGTAAATAGCTGCAACCCACCAATTATCTTGGCAGACAAAATCCTAACGTTTTGAGCAACAAGCATCCTTGATAGAGTCCGCCTCCTCTCTTCCTCTCACTGGGATCCTTCGCTCTGTCCTGCTCATCCAGTGCTTCTTGAACCGGGAATCCACGATGGAGCCATGTCTCTGTAAACATGTAGGCACAACAGTGACTGGGCTCTTGTCGCAGGGTTAGCCTGAATTTCCTGGTAGATCGGAGATGGTCGGGTAGTAGAATCAAACGGCCGTGAACCGAACCACCTATGCAGACGCCCAATGTAATATAGGGGAGACTTTGTGCGACTGCTGTTCACGCCGTGTCCATGTCAGGGTTTTAAGTCAAAAATATCTAAAAAAAATGGTTCAACATCGGATATCTGTTTAGCAAAATGAGATTCAGGATCCTTCTGGATATATTCTGCTCCAGTAAAGGATCCATGAACTTAATATATCTGCAGGGAGGTTATAGAAAACAGTCTTTTTGGATTTCGGACAAGTGGGACCTGAATGTTGTCTTCTCACAATCGTAAACTAACCATGACCACAACAATAAGGGAACTGTTGTCACAGTCTTTATATGTCCAAGCATATGAAAAAACAGCATTATGAATATAGATGTACACGTTCCCTCTTCTTCTTTGGCTCACACCATATTAGCTCAGGCAAAGGTTAGTAGGTGGCAGAGCTGTAGATTTGTGACGTGTTTGTGGTCACGTGCAATCTGACTGCATTACAGTGCTGTTACACGGTGCAATCTAATGGCTTTATGCATCTGAAGTGAGTGGTTTGTTGTCATGGAAATACACCCTCTGGCTTACGTGACTAAAGTTACTCCATATTTTATTTCTTGGCACTGACTTTTTTTTCCATCCCCACTACAGAAGATAAGGATAGACACATTTACAAATGAGTACTCGCGTTCGCTCTCTTTGACCGCCCATCCCCGCCAGTTACTTCGAGCTGGTGCGTGTGCGACTGCCAGGAGTGCAGTACGGGTGGTTGTTGCATGTTTGTGCCAAGCGAGATGAAAAAAGCAGTTGAACGAGTTTCAAGTAGTGATTGTCCACAGCTCTGCTTTGGATGCGGATCACAGAGAGGATAGAGCAAGCTAAGCGGAGCTATCCGTGTTCCCCCCTCGTTTAAATCCTTTCTGCGGCAGATTGGACGGACTCCGTCAATGACAGAAAGCCCCGCCAATCGATAGACAGCGATCCATGCTGACTGAGGGGGAGCAGGGAGCTACGTGTTAAGAGTCTGTGTGTACATTTCTCATATTTTTTTTAACCCTAAAGCTTTATTAGTCATTATTATCGGACTCAGTGAGGGCCGGCGTCATTCGGTCCGCTCACACATGCAAACTATCTCATTCAGTCACCATGACAATAGCCTCCAAACAAACAATCTGGAATGTGCAACATGAACACTGACTAAGTAATGTTGTTTCTGAAGCCAAAGCACATTTGCATTTGATCACACACACACACATGCACAACATAAACGCACTCGTGATCACGTTAGGTAACACTGATTTGCAAAATTATGACAAATGGCAATTAATTATTGCCATTAAGAGAAGAAAGTTTTGGTTTTAATTCTCTATCTCGCTTAAACATTTTTTTTCAACATCACATTCTAGGATGCCGAAGGAAAAAATACTTCCGTCATGGATCAAGATGGATTATATCTCGATTTTTTTACGCAATTATAATCTAAATCTTTCAAAACAATCCGCCAATTATAATTTTTTTCATCTATCGGAACTTCATACAAAGTTGGTGCCTGCATCTCTTCGCCCCTCTGTGTACAGTACAGGTGATTGTGTGGTTTTGTGTCCCAAGCTGTAGTGCAGAACATTATCCTTCCTATATAAAGCTGTCGGGTATTTCACAGACTTTTTTCTTTTTTGTTTCTTCAATATTTTTAATGTAAATCATGTTGGGAAGGACTTGCAGGCGAGTGCTTTGGAAGGGAAGCTGCTTGTCAGGTACAAGGACGAGAAAGCACCGGAGCTGGTTGTCTTATGGATAAAAAGGGAAATTGGATGTGTGCATGTCTGCCCAGAATTCATCGTGAGTGTCAGCGCTTGCATGAGTGCCGATGAAAATGAACCCGGGTCCTTATTCAGATATGTGCTTCCTCCTCATTCCATCGCTGCAGATATTCTCACTCTGGCTTCAAAAAGCAGAAGTGCCCACACAAGCTCAGCTCCTATGTTATCACACAAAGACAGCCTAATACACAAGGCTTTCGGACAATAAAATAACGATAATTGAAGAATTGACAGATACCGATCAGAGTAGCATTTTTGTTTTATTTTGATTTAGCGACTTAATGAAGAAAAAGACAAATGAAGTAGGAATTGCTACATAATTGCTCAAGATGAGCTACTGAACATCAGTGCCGGTTTTCCATATATTTTTTTTATCAATTAAAAAGAAGAAAAGATTTTTAAGAATAAGCTCAAATGTGAACTAAATCCATCAAAGACATTCTAATGTAGCTTTCAATGAATGCGTATTGTTATATAACTTGTATGCAATGTTGTCGCTACGCCTCCAGCACAATTTGTCAATTTATTCGCTCAGTTTGCCAGAGTTTAGATAAGGTGCGTGATGTTTACTGGTAATGTGAAAGCAATTCATATTACTCCGTCTATAGTGAGCGGACCTTGATATCAGGGCATTTCTGTGCAGCACTGTGGTTGCGTCTCAAACATCAAAAGGAAATTGATAATTGCATATGACAAAATTCATAAGGGTTACATTTGGGGATTTGAAGGAGATGATCAAGTTAAATGTGATGAAGATGTATAGCATTAAGTTAACAAACACTTACCATCATAAATCTTTGTGAAAAGAGTGTGAACTCTTAAAAACAGATCAGATGCAAGGAATCTGGAAAATCAGGAAAAGTTCCAGGACCGAGAGTTGTGTATTCACATGTTGCCGTCTGACACGCAAAGATTTTCAGTTTCCTACAATTAAAGTCCAATAAAAACAGGAACACCTTACATTTGTGAGCTTGAAATCCAATAAGTTAGAAAAATAATAAACATAACTAATCAATAATCTAAATGACTGATTGTTGGCAATTGATTTTGCTGACATTTTGAAACTGATTTTGAAAATCAGTTTTGTACTTAACTATTGATAATTATTTAGCATCTGGGTGAAACAGGCTATTTGAGTGGTTTACAGCAGCAAGACGTCTTATTCTGTCCACCGGTCATTCTTTACGCTCTAATATGCAATCTGTGAATAAACAGCAGCTCGTCCCTGATTGTTTATCAAGAGAACAAATCAGACTCAGTTAACAGTTACATGTTTTGGCCAAATTAAAACTAAATTGTTTTCAGATGCTTGCCGATGGGTTCTAAGACTGCGTTGAGGGGTCTTGCATTCTGCCTCTTTTGTTTTCCACTCAGACAGTTTACCGGCACTCAATACGTAATTGGTTGATACGACGACCAAAACAAAAATAAACTACAAAGGAACTACAAACTGCAAGCAAAAAACTGAACCCGCCGCCCTCAGAATCCATCTTCATTTGTAAACATCAGCTCAAAGACATTCTTTTAGATTTAATTGATTAATTGACTATTTATTTAGTGTAGGTCGAATAAAACAAACTCATCACCTGAATATCAAGTTTAAAAGAGTTTATGCTGGTTGTTGTTCAACCTCACCACGGTCACCGCCCATCTGCACAATATTTTTATTTATGGATAGATATGGACATCACAGAGGCATTAGAATTGTGACAGACAATAATGCCAAAGAACTAGATGCACTGTGTTTAGTGTTTGCACCAAGACGTTCATTTACACAGGAGGCTTTTTTAAGGGAAAAATAGTTAAATAAAAATAACAAACAGAACAAAAAGACACATCCACAAATGCATTGATCGGTACATACACGTTATTTTGTTTACCAGTTACCAATGTCCGGACTGAAAGGCGTCCATTTAAACTTTGAGTCGAAGGGAAGGGAGACGTTGCTGCGGCTCGTAGCTCCCCCAAGTGGTAAATGAGACTGTCACCATCAAGAGTGACCTCCGCTGCAAATGTGTGTATCATGCTTAAGCATATGTGAGCGTGAGCGTTTGTGTGCCTCATCAAAGGGTTTCTTTCATGCATAATCAGGCTGGTGCTTTCTGAACTTGTTCTGATGTGACAACAACAAAATCCTCTAGAAAATGACTCTGGCTGTTTGTAGCTAAAAGCCTGTTATCTGCCTCTCGACTTTAAGGGCAGATTAAAAGGAGCATCCCTATACTTTTTTGTCTTCTTCGTAATCGCTGCAGACAAATCCCCTCCTACTAGCTACAGAGGATGTAATTATACGAGGAGTGCTTTAAGTGTGAGACTCCTCACAGGCGTTTTTATGTTAAATATGTAGGGTTGTTTGTTTTGCTGCTTTGAAGCTCGAGTGTATTTCCACTTCTTTTGCCAGGTTTTCCTCTTATGTTGCTGTTATCACCTCTCTCCTCTGCCTCGCCTCTCATCTCCTCATTTACTGTGCCCTACTTGTTTCCTCTCATCTTCTCTGCTTCCTTATTCTCTTGTGTGTCCTCCTTTCTATGTAACTCCCCACTTGGCTTTCCCTCTTATTTCGTCCTCATCGTTCATCCTCTGTGCTCTCCACTTTCCTCCCTCATCCTTTACTAATTTCTTCTCCACTTCTTCGCTCACGCCTTTTACCATTTGCATTAACAGTCACTTAAAATTGTGTTAGTCTGCCTTAAAATATGGTAATGAAGGAAAATTCCACTACTGATCTCGGTGAAACACCTTTACGGTTTCAGCCAGATTGAAAAAGGATGTTAGGACTCTTGTAAAAAATAATTAACAGGCTAATTAAATTTTAAGAGTTGCTACCATTCCCTTTTTAATGAAAGAGGTCTCTGTCTCTGTCTAACCTCCGTCTAGACAAATGATCGTATTACACAGGCACCGGGGGGGGGGGGGGCGCTTTCTGAAACCCTGCGGAACCTACAGCCGTTGTCATTTTGAGTCTGATAGGTGGTCTCAAGTACAAGAACACGAATATCAACGTAATTCAAAGCCTGTAATACATTTCATCTCGTCTAATGAATATTAATGTAGTCTCTGCCACTGTCCTGCTTTTCCATAAAAGCTATAATTGTTCAAGCTGTTTATTGTCATTATTTCCACCATGATATGCATTTCCTAGTTAGCTGATATTTTTTGCCGCCTGCTTGACAATACCTGTGTATAATTGTGTCTTTCTTCCTCTGTGTGTCCCCTCCAGCGGCTCCGAGCACCGACGATGTGGCTCTCTACGTGGGCATTGTCATTGCAGTGATTATGTGCCTGGTCATCTCTGTCATCGTGGCGCTCTTTGTCTACCGCAAGACGCACCGTGACTTTGACTCGGACATTATCGACACCTCGGCGCTAAATGGCGGCTTCCAGTCCGTTAATATCAAAACAGCCAGATCAGGTAAAAACACGTTCATTTTTACCCAGGATTGGTTTAAAGTTTCAAACTAGTAATCACGACCAAAAGCGACGATACTCCACGTGAGGTCTGCAGGTTCTTAATTACATAATGTGGCCAATGATGAGATATGAGATAAATTGGTGAACAGGTAGATGAATAGACAGTGCAGATGGATCTATAGATTTGTAGGCGGATATCAGATGTGACTGGAGGGAAATAAATAACTGTACCAGCTCAGTCCTCTTTTCCGGGCTTCCATGCCAGCGTCATATTGTTTCCCTCCCCGGCCTCCGGCTGTCAATCTTTGCTGCTTTGGATTAATCTCTGTCTCCACCAGACACCACTCTCTTCCATCAAGGTGTCTCTCTCTGTCATTCTTCTACTCTATCTCACTTTTTCTTTCTCTCTGCACATTCAGGTCAATCACATTTCATGTTTATCAGCATCCGCATCCGCTCTTTGTCTCCGACTTGGAGTCTCTGTCTCTCCGCTGTCACAGTGACTCGTACCGCAACAGACAATCCCTCCGTGTTTGTCTTCCCGTTAAAGTGGAGCCGTCTTTCAATCTCCTCCGTCCGTGATGTCATACATTGCTCTGTCTTTAGGAAATAGATGACACAATATGAAGCACGCGGTCACGCACAGTGCTGCACCTGTGTGCATGCGTTTGATAGCTTTCTGGAAATGGTCAGATTGGACTGGGAATGTGGGTGAAAGAGATATCAGTCCAGGAACGCTGTGAAGGTTTGACTTTTCCTCTGAAGAATCTATGTTTGTCTAATAGTTGGCAAAAAAAAACTTAAACGTAAACTTAACAGCAGTAAAATAAATCAATGTACCACGTAAACCTCCTCAAAAAAGCTTCCATATGGCGGCCGGCGCACACAAACAGGCATGCCCATAAATTTGCATGAATTATTGCTAATTAGATGGCTTGAAATAGATGATGAAATATCTGAAGCTTGTATTTAGACAGAGTGATGCTCAATCGTCCCCATTTGGTAATCAGGAGGCAGCATTTTCTGGTGCCCACACAGATTTCTGTTTTTTTTTAACTTTATTGAGGAATCTACAGGCAAAAATTCTGCATCTCTAAACACCTTTAAAAGAATACTTAAAATAGTTTACAGTAATGGTTGTCTGTACAATGTGGTTAATTGCCATTGAGTGATTAGAAGACAAGTCATGGTATACTGCAAAAACAGGAAAGTGAGGTCAGAAAGGAGGCGACTCAAATTTGTGAACAGAAAGCTGAAATCCTTTTGTGTGCGTGTTCACATGCACGTGTACGTCCGTGTGTGTTGGTTTGTGTTTGTGTTCACGGGCAAATGCTTTTGCATGACGTGAGATCAGGTGACATTTTAGCAGCAAAACATCGGGATGCTTCTCACTCAGCGGCGGGGCAGCAACTCAGATTATTATTAATGAAGAATTATGTCCCTGCATATTTCTCTCTCCCTCAGTCTTCCTCTTTATCTTCCTCTTCCTCTCTCTCTGCTGCTTTCTGTTAGTTGTTAATTAAATTTCAGCAGGGATGATTTGGCAGAAATACCCGCTGGCTTTAATGGTAAACAGACTGGGGATAGAGAGATGTGACGTGTGTGTGTGTTTACGTTGATGGTGGTACTGGTGATAATAAGGGATTTTTAAATTAGAATGGATGGGCTCTTGGCGGGATTGACAGGGTTTCAGACTAGAAGAACACATCTTGTATTGTTTTCAGTAGCAAGCTGACCGTCCTGTGTTTCCGATTCCAATTAAATCTTGCACATTGTTTTTTTCAAAGGGAGAAAGTTGCTTATGCAGAAGTAAACTCCTGCATAGTTTTAGTGCCCTTGGATTAGATTAAATGAGTATGGACTACAAAGGGTTGTGACAAGATAGCATTAAAAGTGACGGAACTGTACATCTCACAGGGTCACAATCAATCTTCTTTGGTGAAGTAAATCTCTGTGTAGGTTTGTTGATTTTTCCAAAACAATCAGTAGGATTTGGCAGCATAATCTTTTCCAATTAGCTAGAAGAAAATTGTGGCAGACAGACCTGACTAAAATCAAGTCGTTGTTGTTCAAAAGTGATTTCACTGCAAGGTATTTGATTCATGATGCTTCATGATTTAAAAAGAAAAATGTGTGTGTTGTTGATGATTTCCATTAATTCCCATATGCCTCATGTGGTATGTGTGCGTCTGTTTTTTGCATGTGTGGGCATGCACTGTGTAGTGTGTGATGTGCTATTAGTATGCAATAAATGTTTGCTTATGTGTTTCTCTAGTGCCCATGCTTAACCTTGCAGATGTGTTTTATTTATGACTGAGCGTCTTATACGTGTGTTTTTAAGTGTGTGTGGTGTGTGCTTGTGTGTGTGAGTGAGTGAGTGGGGCAGTGTGTGTGTGTGTGTGTGTGCTTGCGGTGAAAGGTTTCCCCATTAGTAACTCCAGAAGGCGCAGTGTAAAACATCAGTGTACAAACAGCAGTTGACTCACTTGCCTATAGAACAGTATATAAGTCATAACAATTTCCATTGCTCTCTGGTAGATTTGCACATTAGGGTCTTTTTTAGTCTGATTTCAAACGGGGCGTAATGAGTATTTTAAAAATAAATAGTGATGTTATTAAAGAGTGACAACTTTTCGGTGAAGAGTTTAACAAATTACACAAATCAATGCTCTTCTGTTATTACACATTTGTTTCTTTTTTTTATAGTGTATGCATCTAAATATTATATTATAGAAATATTTATACATTTCTGTATACATATACAGTCTCATATTTAGATGCCTACACAGTGAAAAACAGACATTTGCTGTTCATGTTGTATTCTGTGTCATTAATATCTCCTCCCCTGTATCTGCTCCGCTCCCTCCATCCCGCTTCATCCCGCCAGCCGATCTGCTGACGGCTCCTCCTGACTTGACAAATGCAGCCGCCATGTACCGTGGTCCGGTGTACGCCCTCCATGATGTCTCTGATAAAATCCCAATGACCAACTCCCCCCTCCTGGACCCACTCCCCAACCTAAAGATCAAAGTGTACAACTCATCCGGTTTGGTCACACCCCAGGACGACCTCGGAGGAGACTTCACATCCAAACTCTCTCCCAAGGTAAAATAATGCATGTATTCCACGGTCCAATGTCCAAAGACACCGAGTGCAGTTTTCAGATCCTCCTAAAGTGAGGTAAAGTAGGAGGTACTAAAACGCGGCAGCTATCTATTCCCAGTCCCATAAATACAAAACCAAACACTATCAGTGTAGAAACAGCTCAATGCCCCAGTTGTCTCCCTCTGCTCTGACTACATGCACATGGTTCGCATACCAGTTGTCACAAATATAGATGAAACCACTCGTTTTCATCGCTGCGCCTTTCTTCGGGCCAGACTAGAATGGAATCCACTATGTCACCTTTACAATTGAATATCTTCTCTGTTCATATTGTCGTTTTTTAACTGTGGACTCTGAACCTTCTGACCGAACGTGCCTCGTTCATGTTTCGGATCTTCTCAGCTTTGGTCTGGTGTTTATCTTTAAGACATTGAAGCTCATTTTTGTCATCTTTGTGTGACGTGGAGCAAACAGCTGAACGTTAAGTCCTTATTTCACATCTCACCGTGGACATTTTGAAAGAGAAAAGTCAAAGTAGGTCATATTCTACCACCCAGCCTGAGGTGGTTAACGTTAGATCCACCCTGTTCTCGTGGCCTGCCAGCCCAATGACAGCGCTGCCAGGCCGATGCAGATAGTCCCCGCGATAGTCTTGATGAAAGCGGTAAACCTGTAGTGGAAATGAGAGCATTAACACTGAACCGTTAGCATCTTTTTTCTTTCTTCATCATTAAGCCTCCACAAGAAATATTTCACATGCTGATTATTGTTACATCACAGAGCGAGCTGGAATAGTGGTGAATCTCTGCTCTGCAACAACAGACAAACCTGACATTATGTTTTATACACCGTTTAATACAAGACTTTGATGTTCATCCAGTCTCTGCTAAGCAGCTCCCCCCAGTTCCGTCTTGTACGTAATGCAACTCTTCTTCTTGTTTTTTGATTCATAGGTGACTCAGTCTCTGTTAGATAACAGCGACACCATGAACCTCCGCAACCAGAGCTTGGCCCGAACGCGAGACCCTTCCTGCACCGCTCACGGATCCTTCAACAACCAGGGAGGACACCTCATTGTACCCAACTCTGGTGATGTTCTACTCTGATTAATCTGGTTACGGTTTAATGATGTCTTTGTGTTCGGACGCGAGGCAAATGTTAAAGGGGTTGAAACCAAGTCATGACAAGACATCAAATTAACTAGTTTCATTGGACTTATACTAGGATTTAAAAGCAGTAGGTAGAACAATAATAATTGGTAATGGATAGGAAGCAGCTCACATAAGCTGTCAAACAATGGAGCACAATTCAGTTGATGATATATTCAATAGAAAGTTCTATAGGGGGTTAAAAAATGATGATTCAATAATTAATCAAAATGTAAAATGGGTAGCCCATTCAATAATTCAGCTACTGAAAGAATCCAATTAATCAAATGATCCAGTGATGAAACTCATTATTTTTGTCCGCACCTCTCCCCTGTCTTCCCCTCTGCAGGTGTGAGTTTGTTGGTTCCAGCGGGTGCTGTTCCTCAGGGTCGGATATATGAGATGTATGTGACTGTGCACAGGAAGGACAGCTTGAGGTAAGTTGTCTCACTCTCTCTTTCACTCACTTTTTATCTCTGCGGCTTTCGTGCTTCTTTGCGGTTCCTTGTTTCCTTGTTTCTCTTCATCTCTGCATATCCCTCTATGATCTTTTTGTGTCCTTGTTTTTCTTTTCCAACACTTCCCTATCACTTTCCTGGCCGCCGGCTTCTCAGACCTGTTTGCGTGGTGGCGTGGGGAGGCGTTCGCTGTGTGGTATTGGCTTAAGATGCACAGCAGTGGATACTTCATTGCTATTTATAGTATATAGTGCATCAAGGCACACATTACAGCAGGTGGTGATTCATTCAGCGGGGTCAGCTAATAACGGATTTCCTATAGTAGTGCTATAATATAAATCGAGAAGATTATAACGGAATTTCTTCTTGCACATGAATTAATTAATTAACGTGATAATCTGCACCATAATCCACCAGAATTTACAGCAGTGTTTACTTAATTTTAGAATAATTTACTACCCAGGTGTAGAGCTCATAATCCTCATGGTTTTCTTTTTCACTTCATGCACTGGGATAGATCCCAAAAACAAACAACAAGTTGTTTACAGCGTACGCTAACAGATTAGTGGTTATTTTGTGATTACTCTAATCCGGTTACCTGTGACTGATGCAAAGCTCTTTGTGGGACAAAATACAGCAATTGTCTATATTCTAGCTGTTGTGTTAAAATGTAATTGGTTTACGTTTTGAAAAAATACCAGGAATCTATTTGAAAATGACCTGGCACGATGAATAAATGGTGACATTAAAGAGAAAAATATGTTTTTCATAAGTATTTTTAAAACTCACTGTTTAGGGAAATGGTTAAACTGTGTTTGCACAAAAAGGAAAAATAAAATAAAATTGAAATGTGTCTCGAGCGCCAAACATTTTCTAATGCAGCCTTTTAACTCTGCTGATTTGTTCCATCATGAAACTGCTTTCTGCAAGGTTCTATGCAATATAGTTATGCTTGCAATTAATCTTTATAGCATTGGTGGGTATCGCATAAACTGAGCAAATAAAACCCACCCATCAGCTTGGTTTAATGCCACAAAGGTAAAGAGAAGAAATGGTCTCTTTAATCGTTTGGGCTAACTCTGCCCGCTCTCTAGAATAACCAAGCTTCAGGATGCTTGTTACAGTTCAGTTCAGGCATTCTATCCCCATGCATTCATTCCAGCCACAGCCAGCTCGATAACGTCAATAATAGTTAGCCCCCCTGCAGAGAACTACAGTAGTTCTGAGAGTCAAACCTCCTCTCGGTCCTCTGTCTTCCTCACTGGCAATACTAAAAACTCTTTTCCTTTGAATTTGAAGCCCAAATCCTGTGGTTCAACACGTTAAGATCAAACCTTCAGGTGTTGATTAATAAGGTCAAATACATGACCTTATTAATCAATTGCAGTGTGATTTATTAAGGGTGACCTCTGCATTTGGTAAGACAAATGGTTTGGTTGTACTGCTTTTCTCGCTTACCTTCTACCTATGTGAACCCATCAAGAGTTAATAATGAACCCCGTCCACTGAATCCATAGAGATTAGTTACCCCCCCCACACAAAGTGGGCCAGAAAATGTCTGTATTTGCATTATTCCCAGTCAATACATACAGTATGTTCAGCAACATGAGAGAAGATAATTATCAGCTAATGGATAATATAAGAAAACACCAACATTTTCATATAACAATTTACATATTTATAACAATGTTTAAGGATGTGGGTTTACTTTTCAATTTACATATGAAAAACGTCTAGACTTCCATAAACAAGACTAATGGAGTTCACTATGTTTGTTTTTCCTCATTTTTATTTATAGAAACAGTAGCTAGCAAAATGCAAAACCCAGGTGGACAGTTAAATTAAAGTAAGATCCAACTATTAGTAGATGAAAATATCAGAGAATAAAACAGATCAGTGCTGAGTAGCACGAACATTCAATCAGAGGATGATGAAGGTGCTCAGCGGGGCTTCAGTTCAGCCTCAGCTGGAGTCAGTGGTTCACAGCTCACAGGCTGCAAATAAATGAGTTCTTACCACAAGCTCTTATGTTTTTTTTTACAGTGGACTCAAGTATTGGGAACCCAATTGCTAACTAATATAAAGTACAAAAGAGTACCAGTAAATGGAGAAAATATATGAGAAACAAGAGTACATCATCCTATACAAGAACAGAAGTAAAGTCAATAAAGCGTCATGCAGCTTGCCCTTACGTTTAATGTCTGTCTGCAGTGCAGCTCTATCGTCACTCTTTTCTTTGGGTGTGATTTGTCTTCTCCAGACCCCCGGTGGAGGACATCCAGACGGTGCTGAGCCCAGTGGTGAGTTGTGGACCTACAGGGGCGCTGCTGACCAGACCAGTGATCCTCACCATTCACCACTGTGCTGATAATGTCCAGGAGGACTGGCTCATTCAGCTGAAGAACCAACTGGCCATGGGAGAGTGGGAGGTGAGAACAATCCAGATGTACACACAGCCAGACCATTGATATGTACACAGTGTGGCTGAACACAGCATGTTAACACACACATGCACATATAATATGCACATACGTACGTTAAGAATAGCCCGCAATACACACATGTAGAGAGAGAATGAGAGGGAAACAAATGAAAGGAGAGAGAATTCAGTAAACACAAAGTGCCTACAGGCTAGTCGACAAGCAGGGGGCTGAAGACTCCTATCAGAAGCAATTTGTTATGCTCCTGCCGTCCTCTCTGTCTGTCATCTCTCTTCTTATGTTTCTATCCCTCCTTTTTTTCTACCCTTCTCCCTCCTCCTGAGTCCCAGCATGAAGTCTCTACCTCAGTAATCTCTTTCTGTGTGTGTGTGTGTGTCTGTCTCCGTGCGTGTGTGTATCCTCGTGTGTGGGTGTGGGTGATAAGGCTGTCTTGCAGCATCACTGTGTCTACAAGGCCCCCATATTCTGTCTTGTGCTGCTTATCAACGCTTAACACAATGTCTCTGCACAATTAGCCATGCATAAGATTGTGTGTGTGTGAGAGAGAGAGAGAGAGAGAGAGAGAGAGAGAGAGAGAGAGAGAGAGAGAGAGAGAGAGAGAGAGAGAAAAAGGGTTTGGTGCACAGTGGGTAAAGACGAGAAAAATGAAAAGTGGAATTTCATCAGGAAGTCGATTTGTTTTTCTCTTATTGCAGTAGAACCTCCATTTCCCATCACAAACTTTTCTCCAAAACAGGCAGAGGGAGGTAATTGAATTCCTCTCACATCAGGGGAAGCAGCTACAGTTGTGGTTACCAGTAATAACAGATTCATACCATATTGCTTTCCTACCTCTTTGTATTGATTTGGCTTTCTCATCTGTAGGAACAAAACTCAATATTTGTATCACACACGATAGTACGGATCCATGCTGCACACAATTTACATCCACAGACATGTACAAACAATTACTCAGACGTGTACACTTGGATGTGTGCATGACTAATTGAAAATGCTGGAATCATATGGAAAAGAGCTGTGCATTCTCCTTGAAGACAGAGAGCCATAAAGATTTAATGGGACTCCGGCTCTGACAGAAATGGAGAAATGATATGAGCAACAGCCATGGATAATCAGCGTGAGATTGGACATACATATGAGGGTTCTTATTCAAGTGGAAACATTGATACACTTTTAAGAAGTCATATTATGAAACCCCAGACGTCTGTTCAGATTTCAATTCAGTGTCTAAACAAGAATAAAGATATACACAATGTGGTGGATCGATAATCTCTGACCTTATTTTTCTAAAACGAATTACTAAAATGAAGAGTCACACACGGTTCATGTCTTATCAAAAATACCCGCAAAAATAATTAAAACTTTTTAATTTGGCCTTTGTTCCGCTGAACAACAATTTCTGTTAAGGGACACACACAGTCCCCACATCTCTTCCCCCGATCAGTAATGGCATCGCATTGACAAATGTCTGTTCATAATAACAGAGAGAATTCATCAGTGAGAAACCACAGCCTGTTTATTAAAGGGCCGTAAGTGGAAATGGCTCCAAACGTTGGTCCAGTTGGGATTAGTTTCCAGGCCAAATGTGGCTTGAGTCCGCAATCAATGCCTGAGCCGTCCCCCAATGAAGGGGACATTTATTTCTACATTTAGAATCTTTAACATTCTACAGTTTCGTTCTGGGCACAATAACGTAGTTATGTCATTACCATCGCAATACAATATGAGTGTGTGTTGTTTTGACAGGAAATTATGTGCTTTATTTCATGTGAAACATATTAAAGAAATGTTGAGGGTTGCTTTGACAGCAAAAGGAAATAGATGAATATACAGGTGGGCCGCTCACAAATAATAACCATGAATACTTGGAAATACTGAAGGTTGTTTTGGAAGGGTTTGAAAGGTAGTTTGTCTTGAAAAGCAAAGTTTACAGTACGCCATTCTGAGCCCTCATCATAAACCCAGCATGACACTAAGGAAGTCTAGAAACATGCGTGACTCTGTTTGTGTTTGTGTGTGGTTCTTACAGGATGTGGTTGTAGTAGGAGAGGAAAACTTCACCACCCCCTGCTATGTGCAGATGGACTTGGAGGCCTGTCACATCCTAACGGAGACACTTGGGACTTACTGCCTGGTGGGCCAGTCGATCTGCAAGGCAGCCGCTAAGAGGCTCAAACTTGCTGTTTTTGGACCCGTGTCCTGCACATCTTTGGACTATCACATCAGGGTCTATTGTCTGGACGACACACAGGATGCACTGAAGGTAGAGTATGGACACTTAATGAATTTAATTTAATTAGATATTAAATTAGATATCGAGGTCCTGCCTTGAATTATATATCAATATATAATTCAAAATATATGTTAGTTACATATGTGTGCGATTAGTTTTCCAAATGTTTTGAACAATGAAGTTAAAAAAAGATTTGTGTTGTATTTCAGGCTGATTGCCTTGTTGTGTTCTTGACAGATTTTTCTCTCTTTTTTACCACCTCTTGTACTTTAACACGTCTGTGGTGATTTGCGTTACACATACAATATATCATAGCTGGAATAGGAGTGATGATCTAGTTGCAAATAGAGGTTTTCTCATCTCTAGTTTTCTGGTGCTGAGCTAAGGAGCAGTAAACAAAAGAGGGTCAAGCAAAGTCAGAATAACAACGCTTGCCAATTTAAACCAATTCAAAGCACGAGAGGGACCATCTGATATACATGCAATGATAAGTCAAGTGTCAGTGTGGCACACAGCTATGTAGATGCTCACAAAACATTAATGCAGACTCAGTTGTACCACTTCAAACCAGCCAATGTTGCATAAAAATAAAGCTCAGAGATTTTAACTTTTTAATGATGAAGACTCTATAGTATAATTGATCGGTTTGCGTTTTCAAGGCGAAATCTTTGCTGTATGTGGAGCTGCTGCGTAGAAAGATGATGGGAGGGAAAAAATGATAATGTTGAAAAGGTTGCTGGCTTTAGCAAAAGTTATTCTTCCATCATCAGTTTGTGTTTCTGTGCTTGTTTCTTTTATTATTTTGCAGGTATGTATTCAGTTCATGAGCTGAGCAAGTAATTCAATGTTAACCATGTGTGTGTATTGACCCTTATACCGTAAGGCACAGATACTCTCAGTACTCTCTTGTTGTGAGCTAACTTGATACATAAAAGTAATTTTGAAAAGTATGAGCAAAAATCCCCACAGGACTGTGTGCAATATATTATTAAAACAGCTGTAGCCCAGCAAAGTAAAATATGCTGTTTCCTTTGCTCTAAAAAAGTGACAAAACATGGCAAACACAAACATTTGCATTAAGTAAAGTGCATGCGCTTTTTAACCCTTGTACCTGAGTTAGGTAATAATGGTTGTATGGTTGTCTTACGACTAAAAAGGGAGTGCACAAGAAAAGGTTGTGATTGTTGCCTTGTCATACTAGCAGAAGTATTTTGTCATCAAGATAAGGACTAAACTGGGCTGCTTATCTTAAATAACATCATTACTGCTATGCGTATTATTTTCAGAAGTAATATAATGTATTCAGTTAATCTTCCTAATAAAGCAGAGTTATTTTATTTTGATGTTGTAAATTCAAGTTATTCTCACAATAGCCGCATTTAGAATTGTGGTGCATTTTTAATCAATGTTTTTATTGAGCATCTTAATCTATCTCCTCTGCTGAGTGTAGTTAGCAGAGCTAAGCTTTCAGGGAATACAATTAAGGAGCTCTGTGCCCTGTATCCTCAAGTGTTTCATGGTGCTGCGTGCTTCATGGGAACATTCAGCGGTGTCTGCAGTTATTAAGCAAGATGAAAAAGGCTTTCTGCGATCTTTATTGCGGTTTAAAAATGAATTGTTCAGTTGCCAACTTAGAAGCAAAGTTGACAGATGTTAAGTCAGTATTGTGTTTGTTTTTCTGCGTAGGAGGTTCTTCAGATGGAGACCCAGATGGGGGGGAAACTTCTAGATGAGCCAAAGACCCTGGACTTTAAAGACAGCACACACAATCTAAGACTTTCGATCCACGATGTGCCGCACACTCAATGGAAGAGCAAACTCATTGCAAAATATCAGGTGAGAGGGATCTGCACTTGAACACTTGAAGGTACCCGTGTATACTGACAACTGCAAACCCACAGCAAACATAACAGTTCAAAGTACAACTTACCTTTGGCCTTTTTGCTAGGATCATCGTGGGTTTATCTTCCCGATGATTCAGTTGGATGAATTCCCATTAACAATACAAATTATTAACTTAATAGGAATTGTTCCTGCCTGAAAAAGCTTTTGCTTTACAAAAACAATGTGTGTAATATTTATGCTTTTTCCAGGAGATCCCATTCTACCAGGTGTGGAGTGGCAGTCAGAGAACTCTTCACTGTACCTTCACTCTGGAGAGACTGAGCCTCGCCACCACAGAGATCAGCTGTAAACTGTGTGTACGGCAGGTGGAAGGGGAAGGACAGATCTTTCAGCTCAGCAACACGTTAGAAGAGGTACAATTGTAGCAGAGACATCGACAGACTGTTTATTGGCTGTGACAACAAAACTGCAGAAAAGAACTTCAACTCACCCTGGCCTCGGGCAGCCTGAGGGAACAGAAATAAAAACTAAAAAAGGATAAACACAATCACAAAACAGAGAAACTTCTAACATCTAAGTTTAATTCCATCCGTCAGTCAGGGCTTCTGCTATGGTTCTGTGGCTCCGTTTAATCATTCATACTGGGGCTAGAGGTCACATAACATGAGTGGAATAACTCTTCTTTGATTTTGGCAGTCCATGTAACCACAAAGTCACTGAATGTGTGTGTGTGTGTGTGTGTGTGTGTGTGTGTCCGTGTGCGTACACTTTTGGTCGAAGGTCAGTCAGTTCTTTTGGAATGTGCTTTGAATTCTCCCATGGTGTTCATGGGTGACAGTGTGGCACTAGATAGAATATTTTAACCCTTGTTTAACCGGGTAAGTTGAGTTTTGACTGCATATGATGGAACAGTTGAAGAAGCAGGAAGGGTTTTACATATTGTGCAGTTAAAAATGAAACTTAAAAGTGTAGATCCAGTTAAATGGTTTGTGTGTATCAGGACTACACATTCACACAGTGAAAGAAAGTATTGTAACATTTTTTTATAAAAGAACAAAATATTTTAATGTAGTTAACGTAGCTTTATTTAGTAGCTTTAAACGTAACGGCCATTAGCTGCAGTCAGTTACATCGGATAAAGCAAGACAGTAGCTTTAAGATGGAGAGAGCTTTTTGCGTTGGACGTAAAATGAAACCGAGGCGCGTCGTACAGCAGAGACCTGTGCAGAGGAATTCCTCCACGTGTCAAACAGTGGTGAGTGGCAAATGGACCACTTAAAGCACTGCTATGCTAAGCTAGCTGCTAACTGGAAGAGTCGCTAGTTCAACGTGTTCCACCTGGTGGAATTCTGCCTCCAAGTTTAGTATAGTATGTAGTATAGTTGTGTGTTTAAAATAACATTAACAATTGAACAACAGTCTCTAAAATACACATTTTCTGAAATGATTACCCATTACTTGTAAGATTTAGTCTTTAGAAGAAAAACAAACTTTAAAACATTAAAAACATTGCAACAACAACAACATTCATTAATCACCGTCAATCAAGATTAATGAATTTCAAAATGTGTGATTAATTAGTTGCTTTTTTTAAATCTATTGACAGCCCTAGAAATAAGTTAATATAAATAAATAAATACATATTTATTAAATAAAATAAATAATAATTAAAAAAAAAATCTAAATATTTTATCTAAATATTTGCAGTCACTGACTGTTGTCAATTGATTTTGATGACATATTGAAACATCAGTTTTTTACTTGACTATTGATAATTATTTAACAGGCTATTTAAGTGGTCTACAGCAGCAAGCGCTTAGTCAGCAGCATCCTGCAAGGTGATCAGTAAACAGTAAAACTGGTCTAAAGCATTTATTTCATCAGAGAAATAGAGATACTCTTTGCATCAATCATTCAATCCCCGGGAAGCAGAGAGCTTTCTGCTGTAAACTGAGTCGACGCTGTAGAAAGTAATCATTCACATCAACAGCAGCAGTTGCATTTTCCTTTTGCCAAGCCACATTCATTCAGCCGTTGCCTCTTTTCAGCCTGGGAGGGGTCAGATTAATGGGATCAAGTTTTAGAAAGAGAGCGACATCGAGAGCAGAGTGGGAGCGCTTGGAAGCAGATCTTTTGTATTTTGTTCACTCTTGCACTAATTAGTAGACTTATTGGTAATTAGTCGCACTGAAAGTCAGCTGCAGAGAGACAACCAGAATCCTTTCCAGAACGACTAAGATAGAGACCTATTTGAAATCACATATGATGAACTTATCTATGTCAATTTTATCACATCGAAGCACATTTTGACCCATATTTGAATGTTAAGGCTTTGTAGAATCCTGATCTCCCACGTCCCAGTTATGATGATTAAGTTCACAATAATTCTCCATGAGAACTAGTAATTGAGAGCTAGTGAAATGAGAACTAGTAATTGTGTGCCATTAACCAACTTTTGACCCAGTTCTTTCTGTCTTCCCACACTTTTCAGGAGGTCCAGTGCATAGACACATCCTTGATGGACCCAGCTAGTAACATCACAACCTTAGTGGGACCCAACGCCTTCCGCATTCCTTTATCCATCAGACAGAAGTTGTGTGGCAGTCTAGATGCACCACAGACCAGAGGCAATGACTGGAGGTTGCTGGCGCACAAACTCCATCTTGACAGGTGACCCACACACAATCCACAAACACAGTTTGTCTCATGTGTTTCCTCTCGGCCTCCTTCATGCATTTTGCTTTATTTTGAACGTCATACGAGCAGATACTGTATATACTCTCCTCTTATGAAATGACAGCTCTTTAGGTTGGCCTGTCTCATCTCTATAGCTGAAATGTTTAAGAATAATCTTTCATGTTATTAATTTACCTTTTTTTTATTACCTTAAGGCAGAAAAGATCAAAAAGACATAATCATAGTGACAAAATAGCTCAATCATCTATACTCCAAAATTTAGAGGACAGCTGCTCCCAACAAAAGTGCACAACACATCTGCACACTCAATTTGAAAACACATAATTATGTTAAAACCTAGAAATTGAGTAAACTCCCATGCACCTTTAAAGATGCAATTATCCATTTGCATCAAACTCATTAACCAACCGCTAGTCAGAAGATAATGGGGCTCAAGTGCAGATCGTTTTCCCAACAGGCGGCCAGCTCGCGATGTCGTGGGCCTCCAAAAAATCCTGATCATTTGTAAAAGATGGACAGCTAACCAAAGTGTTGTTTACTACCACATTTCTGCTAAAAACGAGCATGATAACATGGATCTTTTATCCTCTCTGCTCTTGTAACTCATTCCTTGCCGTCACAGCCGTTTCTCCTCACATTGTGCAGATATGTAAACCGTGAAATCTGAGCTGTATGAACTATTTATTTGTGAATTTTTAAGCTTATTGTACTGAGATAACTACAAAACAAAATGATGGAAACATACACACTCTGTGACAGATAGATAAAAAGATGGATCGCAGCCATTGAGTTCACTTAACAACGGGATAAACCTTATCACATACTGCAGGCAGATGGAGGCTGACTGAAGGAAACAAAGTAATGAAGAAAGTTATGAAAATAGCTTATTGGATATTTGAGAGGAAGAAGAAACAGACATCCAGTCACTGGTTGTGTTAAACAGCACCAGAGTGTGCCCACAGTACAATCAGAGGACTTACGGAGGAACAGAGAGTCTCCTTTTTATCCACGAATGAGATCACAAATCTGATGGCTTTTTCACTTTAAGGCAGCATTGAGATCTTAGTCACAGATGGCTCAGCCTGTGACTCTCAACCAATGTGTACTTGACTCTCAGCAGCTTTAGAATCTACTGTTCGTATGAAAACTCCCTGTGCACTCGATGGCAATGGAGTCTATTTAGTATCATGTTCTTATTTAGATTTTTTTGATTGAAATATATATATATTTTTTTGAACATTCATGATGTCCTTCATTCTGCTTTCTGTTTAGTCGTTTTACTGTGCCCGTACCATCATATTAGACCTTTTGATTAGAATCTCTTACACAAGCAGGTGAAACAATGGTCATTACATTTTATCTCTGTAGAAATGGTTCACTTCTCATTTATCACAATAGTTTAGTTTATACTGTATATAAATTTAATTGTATCAATATAAATATGAATTTGTTTTGTTTACATTTGTATTCAATAGACTTTTTCTGAATTATTGATATATTATTTAACATACTACAGCCATTATAAAGTATAATGTTGTTTCAAATCTGGAACTGGATGCCTATCAATCCCTCTGCTCTCCTTGATGTCACCAGGTACCTGAACTACTTTGCCACCAAGTCCAGTCCGACGGGTGTCATCTTGGATCTGTGGGAGGCTCAGCACTTTCCGGATGGAGACCTAAATGAACTGGCAGCTGTGCTGGAAGAGATGGGTCGCCATGACGGTAGCCTTGCCTCCATGACGACGGAACATTTCTGAAGCTTTGTGGTTACCGTGACAACGGCAGAGCTCTGGAGACGATTACAAGCAAATTCTCTACAGTTGATTCTGCGGCAAGGGCAATGGGTGAACTAGATGTGAGCAAAAGAAATGGTTAAATACCACGGTTACTATGCCTACAAGAGGCGATGAATGCTCGAGCTCGTGCAAGAAACTATGCGTGTATCTTTGTGTGCTTGCTAGAGCAGTGTTGCAGTATGCTGTGTGAAGGAGGACCGAAGGAGACGTAACCCAACCCAGAACACAAACAAAGTCCACCAGGAACAAACAAAACATACACACATCTGGTGAAATACCAGTTTTTTTCTTGTTTCTTGTTTCTAGAAAAGCAGAGAAAAGACGGAACCGATGTACTGACCTTGAAAGCCTTTATAGAATGGAGGAATGGAGCAGAATCAAGAAAGGAAAGCTAAACTGATTACAAACAAATAGGGGAAGTTAGAGGAAAAAGAGGGAGTGAGTCACAGACCAGACTCTTTAATAAGACAAGAGTAAACTAAAGGACAGGATAAGCTGATTACAAAAGGGAGGGAGGACGTAAATATAAACTGATGGATGATGGAGGAAGACGCAGGTGATCGTCTGTACCAACAGGATGGAAAACAGATAATAAAAGAGGGGAAGTACAGAAGCAACGTGAGCCTTGGCTGTACTTGTTTTGCCAGTTCAGCTTCTTTTCTTTGTATCGTAGAGAAAGCTCTTTGTATTCTGCTTTCCATATGTGAGAACTTACTACATAGTGACTTTCAATCAAGGATTTCCCACATCATGATGTTTGAATTAGTTTTATATTAAGCATCACGTTTGTGGCTTTTCTCTGAAACTCATGCAGATGTGAAGTGATCTGTGTCACAGCAGGGCGAGAGGTACTAAGTCTAAGGGCAACTGAACTCACTGTCCCCTTGCCTTTAACTTGTGCCTCTGATTGTCTTAAAAAAAGACCAAAGGTGGCAACACTCCTGACGGATTCAAGTTAACATATTTTTTGTTTTTCATTTTTAGCAGTGTGTGGTTCTGAAAGAATTATAAAACACTTTATAGGTGTATTCATCCATGGTAAACAGATGGGAACAAAGTTAAACTGCCAGAAAGTCATTCTCATACATAGCATGTTTTATGTTTATTTTATTGGCATCAGCATTTACAAATTTCATTTGTTTTGTGTTAACTGCTGCTCCATTTAGTGATTTGGATGAGGCTGTAATGCAGACAAATTGTGGGGAATTCCAGCTACGGCTCTCGCATTTGGTCAACCACAACCTGCATTCCAGCAGCATCTCTGCATTACCTAGTAACCGGCTGGTTTCTGGACCTGGTCCGACTCAGAAAATACTTAAAGGGAAAAAATAGGGATGAACTAAAAAATAAAACACTAGTATTTTTAAATACAGTGATCTACAAACTACCATAGTATTATGTGATAGTGAGATTAATAGCTGATCTCATTCATTACCGTTAAATGTTCGCAGTATACTGATTTTATCAGACATTTTAATTTACTATCATATATATATAGCCTATGAATATGCATTTCTAACAGTATTCATGGCTTTTATCACCGGATGCCAGATGTATTGTCCGCCGTCAGGCCTCGTGTGATTTAAATTGTGCTCACCGCCATGTCTTGATTATGGTCACTAGCACCCTCCAGTGGCTTTTGGAGAATAACAGCATTTACATTTTTTTTTGTCTGAAATGTGTAAATACATTATTATCATGTCCATTCTAATAACCTTTTAATATCATAATTGTGTTGTTCGGTTGTCATTTTTGTGTCATTTACTATTATTTTTCATGCCATATGTATGATTTCATAGGTGTGAACTGTATGTAACGTAGCAGTTAGCTGCCTTTATCTAGAACAATGTTCCGTCAGCAACTTGCATTCCAACACGTGCTGTATTTGTTGAAAAAGTTACATCTCAAAATACCAACTCAAGGAGCCTACTCTATGTAAAATGAAGTGTAAATTTATGTGTTTGGCTGAGCTTATTGTGAAGCAGGGCTGCTCTTCAGATGAATGCGTAGACACGGGTCAACAGTGTCTTACTAAAAGGTTAAACTCCAACAACCAGCGTTGATGGAGGCCTTATTTTCTGTGACTTTTTGGGCTTTCAAAGGCCTGTGGACAGGAATTCTATTCACCACGTGCAGGACAAAATTAACTTTCAGTACAAAGGGAATACATGTAAAATATTGAATATCTGGAGTCACGATTTTTCTGCTCCTAATTACGGAGAGACGCCATATGAAACGGAGCGATGGGTATGTAAGAGATGCTGAGGAGGATATTGTAAAGACAACAAAGTTGACCTCTTTGTGCCAATTATCATCTCGCAGCTGAACTTTGAGACAAACATTTGACATTGATTCCCCATAAATATGGAACTCAAAACATGGGACCTCTTGTGTCTGTGGAGAACCAGACAAAGAAGCGATGGAGGCCTCACGGAGAGTCTTATTAACGAAATTAGAAAAGGTGTGTGGTCAACTGACGTAATGGATGTTATGTATGCTACCACAGATTTCCCTTTATGAATATCAAAGGCTAAAACATTCATCAATTCAGTACTTTTCAAAATATAAACCCAAAGTTCGTGACAGTGTCTCATTCATACAACGTGATCAACAAATGCAGAATACACAACCCACTAACTGCGAGGAGAGGATTTGTTAAGAACCAAAATTAGATCCTTCGCATATTGAAGAGATCAATGGAATAGTCTGAACGGGGGGGTTCTCATATGACGATGGCAAACAGAAGGTGATCCGTCTTGATCTGCAAATGAAGAAAGTATGTAAAAAATATTTTGTATCCACAATATGTACAGTTGTGTACTGTCAGCTATATTTGGCCAATCTGAGAATATAAAAAAGAGCAGTACAGTTAGAGACTAGTTTGTATGTTTCTTTCTTTTTTGTAAAAGCAGTGTCTACTATGCAAACTTGACATTGGTTATCTTGATAGCAGTTTATAAGTCTATAAATAGAGCTGTGCTTGTAAGTGCATTTTTATTTTACTATCAGGGGTGATTTGATTTCGTTAGTGTCGGGTGGTGAAGGTCCATTTTTGCTAATTCTGGCACGCTTCATGAATCTTGCTCAATCTTGCTGAATGCTCGCCTCTCTATCTCCTCTAACTGTTTTCTGTACAAAGTGTAAGAAAGAATTTTTAAGACAATTAATAAATTATATTTATAAGCAATGCTGAACACGTGTAGTGCCTATGGTGGCTTATTCCTACAGAAGTACTGCAGGAAATGGTTTGAAACTTTGATTTCTCTCATATGACGGTTACATGTGTGCTGTGAGGTCCAAAATGTATGGATGGGATTAGAAAACTGTTTCCTTTTGAGAAACAGTTCTCTAATCGTCTGATTCCTCCAATTCGCAAGCCTCTGGGACAATCGTTTTTTCTTTTCAATGCTTTTTTAATCATTTTGCATGCACAAGGACATCATGCCGTTATTAGCACACTGTATCACGTTTCAACTTGTGTCGAAGCAGAGCCGTGGCAGAGAGGGAGAAAACAATCTGAAAAGCTTGTCAATGCCAGACCTGAAGGGGTGAACCCTATTTCTTTGCTACAGAACGCTACAGTGTGAACAACAAATCCGTGTTGAAATTTGATGGGGGGACGGGGGGGCGTGCGATTCGGTAAACAAATCGGGGGGAATTTTATTAAGATAAATCACAAACCACAGTGCATTTTGGGGGATTTTGAGGTGTTATTTCTCCAAGCTGTTAAAGAATATGAGAATTTTGAACTTGATCAAAGTTGGAACTAGTGCAGAGCCTGCAGGAATATTTGGAATCAAGTAGCGCATTCTTTAACCTTTTTGCCTTGTCCTCTTCTCATGCACACAAATAGAGGATGCAATTTTCTACATCCAAACAAAAAGTTAAATTAAATTTTCAAGTGCTAAAATTGAAAATTTCCTGAAGATGAAGCTGTACGTGTAAAAGATGTATCGTCCAAGTATATGCTTACTTGTTTGACTAATTAGAAGGAGAATGCTTTAATGACGGATTTCCGTTGTCTTTTTTTGCTTTAGTGAGTCGCCCCTCTTTCACACAGGGAAGGCAGGGAAGGACGCAACCACTGTTCCTTATACTGAGATAAACAGCAGACTGTTCGGATTCTGCACATCGTCTTCAGATGCTGTGACTCTATTCAATAAAGGGGTGACGGTCGAAGTTGTGTTCGGATTTTATTTGCTTTTATTGTTTGTGCTATTGACCGTTGCATAGTCATTCGGACTTACTATGACTTTTTCATGACAAAGTATGCTATCAAATAAAACATGGAAAAGTCACAGTGTGTCATGAAAAGCCTCAGGAAACGGCATTTATAAACATGTATAAACCAGGAAAGAAGTGTATGTGGAAAAATGTCTTGGAACGGCCATGAGAGGTCAAAAGGTCGTAGTATAGTATGTTGAAAAGGATTGTGAAAAAGTAATTATGTAAATGTATAAAGTAGTATAGTATGTTGAAATTATTCAACATCGTAAAAAAAGTCAAAAAATAGTACATCAAATAATAGTGTATCAAAATATTGCGACAAGCTCATCGTAAAGTATATTGAAAAAAAGTTGAAGCTCTGAAGTTCTGAAGTTGTCAGAAGTAAGGGTTTAGGATATTTAAAGGAAATCATTGAAATGATCATATAATTTGGTATGGCATACAAAAACTAAAATATTTTATTTGAAGCAATATTTCTGAAACATACTTAAAACAACCCATGCAAATATTTAAATAAAAAATATAATGATTTAATTTGTGTTTTGATGCAAAATAATCACAATAGACGAGAATAAAACAGTAAAACAGTCACAATTCAATTTATTTACAGAGTTTTTATTCAGAGTGAGGGGTGAACATTTAAACGTAAACCCAACAATTAATCAGTTATCAATAGAGAACCATTGGGAATCAGTGAGGGAAATTGATAATGGAATTGCCATCATGCAGTTTGTAGACCTTTTTTTTAATCATATTTACAGGGTCCAGACTAAATAGGTAGTTCAATAAAGTAGCCTGAAACTATAACAAAATGACTTTCTGGTGTCACTGCAATGAAGTATGTTGCTTTTTTATCCAATATGGAGAACATGCTATGTAGCTGGTTGGTGTGCACCTCGTTCTGCCATCACAAACCGGCCACGTGAATGAGTGAAACACTTTTTTTTTTGAAACATCCTTTTTACCGGATTAAAAACAGTCCTTTCTCCCACAGATAAACACAGTAGGTACAGACTAAATAAGGCACAACACCCAGGAGGGAGGAAAGAGCACCATTAGTCTGCCACACCTTTGACTCTTATACAACCTTCCATTTTTTTTTTTGACTAAAAAAAGTTTTTTAAATGTCAATCACCATTTGACAGCTGCAAATTGTTTATTACAGTGATTCAATTCAACGTGTTCTTTGACAAACGAGGCAGCCCGCTTTGGGTGTCCACAGGTTCATTCAATGGTTAGTTTTGTGATGGTTTTATAGGTGGGGTTTTTTCAACAACATTGTGTGCATGACTGTTGTGTGCATGACCTCTGGCCCAGCTGACTGAAGCCCACAAGATTTGTTTATGGGAGCCAAGCATTCCCACTTGTGATACTATTAAACTAACAGCGGCAAAAAATTCCACACATTTACAGAAAATCACGACACAATCAAGCAAGAAGTTATCACTGCAGTTAGTTTGCATCAGCTTCTCATTGGCCCGTCCTTCCTCTGTGGCACCTACGGGTGGCCTTGTTCTGCTTCAACCGCTTCATTACTGAAAAGCCCCCCTCCTCTGACACCGGGCAGGGAAACACAGGAGCGTGGAGTCTCAATTCAGGATTTATTTGGACATGTAAACTTTATTTTTCACTAAGGTTAGTTTCACATTAAAAAAAAAACGCTTTTTCAACTTTCATATCCTTTCACAACTCAAAAATTGTTTTCAGTGTCTTCAAATGTTACGAGCATAAAAAACACTTTGAAAGCCTCAGAAGTAGACTTCTTTTTTTCTTCTGCCAAGTAGTGTGAGTCATTGTAAAATAAGTCATTCTGAGAATGACATACGTGTGTGTAGAACATAAAGGCAGTAGTGTGTTGACAGTGTTTTGGTGGGAGGTGACATGCTGCAAAAACAGACCCGCTTTAAAGCACGTCCTTTTTGTTCTATGGATAGGACCTTCGTCTACAGGCATGGTAGCTTTCATAGAAAGCAGCGATATAGTATTCCACTCACTGATCAGTAGCTTGTTTGCGTGTTTCTGCAGCTACAGTGCCAATTTAAACTCAATCATGTTTGAGTTAGTTTGAAATGAAAATGTTGCATCTTCTCTGATGGACACAACGGGGCCACACGGGGGCCAGATTGTTTTGATTAGTTTTTAGTTACGGCTGCACAACCATCGGAAACCCGAAACACACATTTTCACGGGGCTTGGGCTGTGGGCATCTTGTAGAGTGTGTCACCCGGGCATCTTCAAACAGGGGATCTTGCTCCGTGACCCGTCTTTTGTTCCCAGGAAGAAGGATTGCGTGGCCTGCGGGGAGCCAGTGTGATTGCTAATGCCCTTTCTACGCGTGTAAACACACACCTGGCCGTGCCGGCTCACAGCTTAATGTCTTGCGATTCTGACATCTTGGCGAGTGTCTTTTTGAGGCGAAGGGCTGTGAGGCGGTTGGCCGGGTTGTGGGCCCAGGATTCTGTCATCAGCTTCCCCATCTGTCTCAAACACTGAGGAGTTACAGATTCATGTTAGGAAGATCGGCAATTTACGCATGCGTGTATATGTGGCCTATTTCCGCGTATTTTACCTCATCGCTGGTCCATCGATTTGGAAAGGAGGGTCGTAGTCTCTTGATGCAGACCACCTCCCTCATGTCCTCATATGAAGGGTCGGTAGGAACTAACTCGTGGTACGGCAACTGGTACTCTTCAAGAATCCCTTTGACGAATAAAAATAAAACCGGTCTGTTAATGTGTCCAATCTAAAACAAATACATGTTTCTGTAGGTCTGGCTTTTTAGAAGGTGTACCTCCTGAAACACAACGACGAGCAATCTCCCAGAGAATGAGCCCAAAGCTGTACATGTCGGCCATTAGGTACGACTTTAATTTACTTCGGTCCAAAGTCTCTTCCAGAACCTCTGGAGGCATGTAGCGCTTTGTACCCACTCTGGTGTTGTGAGGAATGTCTACCTCATTGGTGTCACTGCAAAGGTCAAAGTACAAATATTAACATCATAGATCAACGAGCTGTGAACGTTAATTAATCCATAAATCCATAATACTTTGGAATCTCTGAAATCTTGCAAAATATTGATTTAAATAACAAAGGGAAACATTTTATACTAGTATTTCTTCACGGCAAAAAATGCTTCCCTCACCTGATAAACTTGACCGACAGCCCCAGGTCAGCTATACAGCAGGTCCCGTTCCTTTTCACCAGTATGTTCTTACTCTTCAGGTCCCTGTGAGCGATGGAAGGTTTGGCCTGAGTGCCTATGATCCCGTTGTGGAGGTGACAGAGGCCTCTGACGGAGGAGTAGGCCAGTCGCAGCATGGCTCTGTTGTCTAGAGTAGTCGACTTCAGGTAGTCATACAGGGAGCCGTTTTCATGGTAGTCCGTGATTAGGTAGAGTTGGGTCCAGGAGCCGGTTCCTTTAATATCAGCAGCTATAAAACCTGGAAATATACGAGTTAAGAGGAGTTAAACAGATTTGTTTACTTAAGAAGAAGCAAATATGTAAAGTCACTATAGACAAAGGCAAATAATAATAATTATATATATATATATATATTACTACTAAATTAATCTAATCTAAATTAAGGTGTGTGAAAGCTTCCTTTTCATATGTCACATCACAACTACCGAAGTACATCTGTCTTAATTAGTTTAGTTTAGTTTAAATTACTTTTAAAACTAATCATGCAAGGTCTGTATACAGTACATTTAAGTCATTTTAAACATTATATATTAAGTTTATTTTTAGAAAAATGTCCTGTATCCCTCAATTATATAATGCTATCTTGGCAAAGTATTTCCTGTGGAGGTATTTACTGTCTGCAAATAGTCTGTCTTCCAGTTTACTGGCAAGTGATCTTTTGCCCCACTACTTAATTGCTATGCAACCTGTAGTGTTTAATTATACAAGCCTTGGCTGGCAGTCTGTTGTTGTCTTCTTTATAATGTGTCGGGGTGTATGGTCTCTTGGCTATAATTGATTTGTTTTGGCAGTGAGTGCAGTGCAGGGCAGCATAGTTAATAATGGACACAGTCCCAGTTCAACTGTGGCGTGTATTTACTGTTAATTCTGCAGTCACCTCTCGACACACCAGTTCATCCATCCGTTCATCCATAATTCAGGGTTGTTTTGTTTAACTGATACTATATGAGAAAGACTTATTTATTGCTTTTCCTTCAAATTCATGTTGGGCTCTTTGTTAACTGGGATGGAGCACACCGAGTTTTCTTTGATTCACTTGAAAGACAATAATTAAAAACACAAACAAATAACAGACGGTTGCGTTGTGTCTAAATCGATATGAATAGAGACGAATCTGGATGTCAGTAACAAGGGGGAGAAAAAGACACAGAGACAGACACCAGTCTTACCCAGTATGTTCTCATGTCTCATTAGGACTGTCTGGTAGATCTCAGTCTCTCTGAACCAACTAGCCTCCTCAGTGGTGGTGAAGACTTTGACCGCCACCTTTTCTCCCCTCCATCTGCCCATCCACACCTCGCCGTACCTCCCCTTGCCGATCTGCTTCACCATATAGATCTGCTTGGCTATTGTTCGCTGCACCTAAAGAAGAGCCGAAGATGGAAAACGGGGGGGTTGGTTTTAGCGTATTCAGCTCCTCACACGTCGAGTGGAACCTCAAATGAGGTTTTGTGGGACTCTCGGACTGGAAATGAGACCTCGGCTGCAACACGAGTATCTCACCAATAGAGGGAGCCCCGAGCCTGAGCCAGAGCTTTGCGACTGCTCTATCAGGTCCCTCAGAGACTCTCCGGGGGGGATGTAGGTCTCATCCTGCTTCAGACCAATGCTGTACCGCCCGCGAGACTCCTGACGTCTATACCTGTAAAAACACAGTTATTTGGCGTTCCTTGTCACAAAGGAGGAGGAAAAAAAAGTATTATAAGGAATACAAACTCTCTGTAATCACCTGAAGTAGCAGAAGACAATAATGAAAACCAGGATAACGCTGCACACAATGACTGAGATTGTCATGGCTTCGTTGTGGATGTTTCCATCTACATAGACTGGAGAGGGGAGAATGAAAAGGTCAGAAATAATGTGTGCACTGCAGCAACAGAGGAAAATTCTAATTATATGGAGAAGAGGGAAAATATTAAGGAATAAGGATTCATGAAATACTATCAGAACAAAAAATAAGTACAACCAATGGACATTCTTAAGAAGAAAGGTTGGATACGTTTTCTGGTCCAGATACTCAAATGAAAACCTGTAAAAAAAACTCAACCTCCAAGGGAAATAATACGATGAAATCAATCATTCCCACAAGTCACTTGAACGGAACCGCCGTCCCGTAAATCAAGCACAGATCACATTGCGCTCGAGCAACGTCAGCCCAGTCGATGGATTCTCTTCCTGATCCGCTTTTGCAAGCGGCAGGACTGTCTGACACTCCTGCTGTCTCCCCCCATTTAAGCCATCTTTATCTCTCTGACAACGTCATAATATCTCTATCTCTGAACGCCATGTGCTCTAACGGCATCCTTCACAGTCCTCGGCCCCGTCCATGTCAATGCCACACTGTTGTTGTTACCCGTCAGCTGGAGAACAAGGCGTTCTTAAAAAACGATTCTTGTGTTACACGGTGAAGAAAGAGTTGTGGACGGACGAGATAAGAGAGACAGAAAAACTTACGAGGTGGTTTGAGTGGCGGCAGTATGGGATGCAGGTTTTTGTTACAGTAATCCTCGTCTGTACAGCACTCCAGTGATCTGCGTTGAGAGTTTCCCCTCTCCTGGAAGACACACAAGTTTACTTCTAATTTCTCTTTTTGTTTTTGTGTTTTTGTGTTCACTGTGTTGATTAAATCGCTGAATTTTATTGTATTGGTTTTGCTACTACCTGCCTCCCCATGGTGTGATAGCAGATTTTTAGTAATAATTATTTTATTATAATTATAATTTGATTTGAACTACTAATCTAACATTAAAAAAGAAAAATGTAATTAATCTGAAATAAAAAATATTTTCAGTAACAGCTTTAAATGTAATGACACAAGTATAAATGGTTAGGTTGGAAAAAATCTGCTTCCTTCTATTGAAATCAATATCTTAGATAGAGCATGTTAGAGAGAGGGTAACAAAAGGCAGAGGTGCACTCACCCTACACTGAAATTCTGATCCCCGGAGGCCGAGGCATCCCGCCGTTAGGACCGGCACTCCTCCCTCGTCCTCCACCATCGTGAAACAATAGCCATCAGTCCTGGAAAAACATTACACAGTATTATTAGCAGCGTAATTAAAGCAACCACTGAGACAAGATCAGGTTAAATCACGCACAAACGTGTGTTAGCTTGGCCGATTCATCGTTAATCCTTAATCCCTTACGGTACCTGCACGTGTTGTTGGTTGAATCTTCGGGGCAGTGGTGATAACAGTGACACCACAGTAGCCGTTGGAGGGACAATGATGGAGCTGTGCTGCCACTGGTCTCCTTCCCACTCTCCCTTGACTCCTTACTGGATGCTCTTAGTAGCATACTGTCCAATATATTGCCTATAAAAAAAATAGAAATCAGACATTTGATTAGGAGTGAAACAGGGAAAAAACACATGTATGAATCTCAGATACATAATACATTTAAACAGAGGAAAAAGGACCAGTGCTGCCGCGTACAGCTTTGCATCATTGATGCCATCAAGCATTAATTTGGGTTCATGCTACTGGAGGGTGTTTAGACTACAAAATATCCCTGATAAATTTGTAAAAAATCATATTAAGAAAGCTTTTAAGTAATGATTAAATAGCAACGATATATGAATGTGACATTGGTTAACCATGCTCCAACATATTTCAAAAAGGTGTATCTGCCGCTGCTTTTCATAATTTATGACAAGAGCATTCAGGCCCCCTCAGCATCCATCCTCAAAGTTTAATATCTTTACTCCCCCAATCTCCTCTGTGCTGGCAGATGCTTGCAAGGAGCGATGAGGTCAGAGGAAAGACGGCAAATATCAACTCTGTGAATCCAAATGTTGACATGGGCCGGCTGACTGAAATAATCTAACTTACCAGTGTGAATCCACTAAGATATTTATATAACCCCAAATAAAAAAGGACGACAGCAAAATGTAGAAGGAGATATAAACTTGTACACCTGATACTGTGTCACAGTGTATTCAAAGTAAAGCTGTTGTATTCCCCATTATCCTATTTTCAAAAGTGTGTCAAAGTACCACAGAAGTGTCTTTCCTTCATGGCGTTAATATTTGTATTTGATGGCACAAAGAGCAACAGTTTAAATGGCTGCACACTTGTCTAGTGTCTAATAGTTCCATCATAAAACAAAGCTCAGGGGCAGGGGATTTCAATTTTGATTTTTTTCAGCTTTTGCAGTCAACTTTCATCTTTCTGAGTTACTGTTAATTCTGAAGAAATCCAGGAGTATTTTTAAGGAATTGTAAAATGACTGCGATGGTCTGATATGTAAAATGCAATCATTGCCTCCTCACTAATCTATGCTGTACACTTTGCACTCATTACCTTTAATATACGATTCCATCATGAAATACATTTTAAAAGTTAAAAACCTAACGTGAACCAGGTTTTGGTTGCATCCATTGTGGTGTGGTTAATGAAACCCACTAAAGATCAGGAGATGAGGCCTCACAGTCTTCATTGGGTGGGGAGATTATCTACAGAGAGCTCTGAAACAACCTCTGAAACAAGATTGGATTAGGCGAAACTTGAAAATGTGCTATATATTTCCAGAGCTGTCTGTCAAACGTCAGAGAACGGGTGCAGTATCTTCTCTTTCATCTGAACTTGGCTGTCTTTCACCAAACATCAAAGGACTTCCTGTAAGGATTAAACGCTTGAAGCTCCCTTGTAGGTTGAAACATCCAGACACTAATGCACACCAGCAATACTACAACACACTGAAGCCACAAGATAGATGCACATGTGCTTCACAAATGTCTCTTTCCCTCTTGATCACTGTCCCTAATATCTTATGTGCTTTGTTGTCAATGTGCTGCAATTGTGTTGACTGACATTCTGGAATTTGTCTTCACAAAAAGGGATTATAGCTTTAAGTGGCATGGACTTCAGCGAATAAGGCTCAAAGAAAGGAAAGTCACACCTAATGCGAGTAGAAATTTGTCGTTTGTTACTCCTTGATCATACCTCCGTCATTATCAAGTAGCAAAAGCTGTTCAATGCATGAGGTGTTGATTGTATTTATATTGATGGTAAAACATCTGAGTAAACACCAGCAATTGGTTTTCTAACCCACAACCTTTGTTATTAGTCCAAAGACCCATTTTGTGGACGAGTGCGTAGCAATAAAATGATATCGTCCGTCTCATTTAAAGTGCTTGCTCGTCTGAACTTAACTGTAGCTTCATAAATCCCGTTTACCAGATTTTCTCATATGCAAAAGGAAAACTTTTAAAACAAAAATAAATGCACGGATGATACGTTCAAATAAGGAGAGCCATTTGTGATAGTCGCTTTGCTTCGTAGACGTCTCTCTCGCACACGCTGATACGATGTTGACAACTCAGCGAGAGGGGGACTGCGGAGTTTAAAGGGGTCACACTAACAATTGACCGATTGGAGAGAAAGGGAGCGAGGAAGAGTAGGAGGGGGAGAAGAAAGGGGAATTAACAAACAAGAAGTGACAGAGCTGCGGGGAACTGGTGGGCAGTTTAGCAGCACACAGAGGGGACTGAGCAGAGGCCACTGGCCTTTTCCACCCTTTCTCTCGCTCTCCCCCCCTCCCTCCCATCACTTACTCCACCCTGCTCCCAGATACGTATTCACTCTGCACCCCCCCCACACACTTTTCTTCTTTGTCCTATATCTCTTTCTTTGCCCCATTTCTGCCTCTCTACAATTTATTCTCAAATCTCAACAGCTCCCGGAACCCCTCCTACCCAGACCTCCCCTTCTCGTCTCCTCTTCCACTTTCCTTGCCCTTTCCTCCCTATGTGGGTTCACTGGATAGTCACGTGAGGTGCTGCTCTGCTGTTGACAAAACACAAAGCCTTTCACATCCATCCTGCACCTGGGATCCCTGGCTACTGCTCTGTGTGTGTGTGTGGGGGGGTTGGTGCGTATGCATCCGTGCGTGTGTGTGCAGGCATGTGAGAAAGCAACGTGATCTCCATAACCTGTTTGTAAAAATGTATACGAAAATCTTGAACATACAAATTCGTAACAATACATACGAAGTGGCGGTGGTTAACCACGCCCCTTGAGTGAACAACATGGCGGACCATGTCGGATTCTTGAGTGAACGTCTCTCCGCCATGTTGGATTTTTGGAGGGCGTTAGGGTTAGTATTGTATTCTTACAATTTAACATTGATTTCTCGTTAAAAATGCAATCATAACACGTTTATTTTACACCGTTAGACTTCACTTCCTGTGAGCCTGTCCCATCTGTCTGGGGGAGGGAGAGTGACCAAGGTCAAATATTCAGCTGTTTCAAAAGAGCAAGACAGCTCTGCTCTTGAATGCAAATCGTATCTTGAAGCAAAAAAGATCCATCTATATGAAAATGATTTTTACAGCAAGCAGGAAAATGAAATCTTAATATTATATTATTATATAATAATATAGACGGCTCCATAAGGAAGCTCTTCGTAGTATAGTGCAGCGGTTCCCAAGCTGTTTAGCTGCATGCACCTCCTTCTACATCCCAACTGGGTTCATGCACCCCAATTCACCAAGAGAGAGAGAGAGAGAAGAGACGTGAGTGTTAACTCTCTGTTTCTATCGCCTCGGATTCCTCCGTCTCCCTCCGTCACTCTCGTCTCTCACGACTGGTAGCTTCAGACGTCCACCTGACCTGTTAGCTGACGTTAGCTGCACAAACTAGGCTCACGTTAGCTAGTGAGCATAGGAGGAGCTGAAGTGTATTTATTTTAAATTTTAATCTGAAAACCTGAAAAGGGTAGTTTTATAATTCACGTCTGTATTTTGTGTAAAAACCCTATAGATTTTTTACAGATTATATTTAATATGAATTATTACCCCACTTTTAGGAATCCCTGGTACGGTGTTTTGTTTTGAAGGCGAGAGAAATCCGTGTGGAAACATGAGGTATCAGAAAACATTGCCCCTGTGGTCCGGCCCCGGCAACCCCTCTAAAACAACTAAAATGACCAATGGGGATCCAGTCCAAACCACACTAAGTACCGTATTTCCAGCCACTTCAGCGTCGATATAATGAATTCAGACTCTGAAATGGCTTTTCAGATACGGGTGAGCTTTTATGTCTCCACTACAGGCGTTTTTCAGGCTTGACGGCGTGACACAGGGGTCACTGTAAAGTCACAATTAACAACCATGGCCCAACAAACCCCCAAAAGCCTAAAAGGATTCTTTTCAACAGACGCCCCTTTGTACAAACTGAAAACCCCAAAAAAAGAAAAGAAGAAGAAAGATATTAAGGTAGACGCAGGGGAGAAAAGTGAGGGAGAGGGATATAGTGCATTAGATGGCGAAATGAGATTTTAGACAAACAGACAGGAGAAGCAGAAGAGAGAGAAAGAACACGTTCATTAGTTTTCGTGGCCATGTCAAACAAGGCCTACCAGAAAAGCCCTTTCATCGAGCCCATGTAAACACCACCCACCTCCCCCGTCCACTTAAGACACAGTCATTTGACAAACCCGCCCCCCTCCTGCCCCCCCCCCGCCTTCCCTCTGAGTAGTAGTTCATCTCTGCGGTGTTTGACAGTGGCGTCGGTACAGTGAAAGAAGCATTGGAAGGTTTCTACTCCCGCTCTCTCTGCGTTGACTTCATGTTCTTGCAGTGCCCGGTCTTATCTCCGCGTTCTTCTTCTTCCTGTCACCGCTGAGATGAGCTGAGCCGTCCCACATGTGCAGGAATGTCTTAATGAAGCCCACTTTGTGATCTGAACCCTGGGAAGCAGAGGTTGTTTCTTTAAACTGTTTTGGGTTAAACTTACTTTGAAATAAAATATCCGGGGCGATTCTCCCCTACTTTGTTACTACGATACTGATATTGGAGGAGAAGGATCGGACGGATCCTAAACCAAGTCACTTCACGTCTAACTGAAGATGGATTTACAGGTTTCAGTCATTGGTAAAGCAAAAGAACGGTTCTTTTGTGCCAGTTTCCAGCTCATAGGCACTTAACCGGCTAGTTTAGATTGTATATATTGAAGGCAGCAAGAAGAAGTGCGTCATTACTTTCAAAATAAATCTACCTTCCGCCACATATTCATCGGCCCCAAAAGATCTCACAGAGAAATCCTGAATAAAAGGTTTAAAATGGACACACACAAACATGGGGATGTACTGTAATAATTAAGAAATAAATAATAAAATGTATCAAACAAATTAATGAATTTGAGACTAAAAGAATGTGACGATTAAGCTGTCCTTAAAAAAAAAAGTTTTACCTATCCAGTAAGCTCTGCTACCAAGTAGCCAATCACAAGACACAAGTGATGTCATGTGGCTCCGACAGAATGCAGCGTTTGAGATGCTTTCTTTAGCCAAAACAGTTAGTGAGATGTTGTGA